ATAAAAAATATGAATACGACTGCGGCTTTAGGCCACATGGAGGCCACCGTCTTTTCTCTTCTCGACAGGGAAAATCAACGCCGCACGGTGCCCCACGAGGACATTAAGCGGATTCGCGAGTACGGCACACAAAACGTGCCCCTTCCCAATACAGAGACGGAGAACATGTCGGCTATTTATAGACGCATCGGTGTAAGTGAAGAAGAACATGAAAGACTTTGTCATGAGTGGTATTATGGTGATAATATGCCGCAGAGATTTAAAAAGATTTGCGAAGAAGGTGGGAAACGTAATGCCTTTGCTTACCGTCCTCTTATTCGAGTTTCACGTGAAGTTTTAAAAGACCAGAATGGACTGGAGCGTATGTATGATGTAACTTATCTTAATGATACTTCCTACATTGATTTTGACACTCTTTGGGAATATATTTCTTGTTTTGGAAGAGGCCTTGTGGAACTTGGTATTCCTTTTCATGCAAATGTGGCTATTTACGAAGAAACTCGATGGGAGTGGTTGGCTACTATTTACGGTATATGGTCCCAAAATATGACGGCGGCTACGGTGTATGCAACTCTTGGGGAGTCTGCACTTTGTTATGCCTTTAGGGAAACAGAATGTGCAGCCATTGTGTGTAATGCCCTTAATGTACCCAATTTACTTCGAATGATGCGAGAGAAATTAATGCCTCCTGCTATTATTATTTATCTTGGAGAACTTCCACCAGGTCTTAATCCTGGAAGTTTTCGAATTATTTCATGGCATCAAGTGGTAGATAACGGCCGTATTTCTACTGAACCACTTCGAATTTCAACCGATAATGATTCCCTCGCATTTATTATGTATACGAGTGGAACAACAGGAGATCCGAAAGGGGCTATGCATACACATGGTTCTCTTGTCGCCGGTGTGGCGGCTTGTGCAGATCGTGTGAGTGATCTTATTGGTCCATACGAACATGGAGAGTCTTACTGTGCCTATCTCCCACTTGCGCATATATTTGAGTTTGGTATTGTCAACATTTTTCTTGCGCGGGGATCACTGGTTGGCTTTGGTAGTCCCCGCACTTTACTGGACACATACGCACGACCTCATGGAGACTTTACGGAGTATAAACCCGTTTTCGCCATTGGTGTGCCTCGCATTTATGATACTATTAAGAAAACGGTGGAGTCGAAACTCGCCCCGCGTGGCACTCTTGAGCGACGTATCTTTGAACACGCCTTTCAACAACGTCTACAGGCCTTAAAAGAAGGAAATGAAACCCCATTTTGGAATGAGTTGGTGTTTAATCCCTTTCACAGTATGTTGGGGGGTCGTATGCGTGTGATGCTCTCTGCGGGTGGGCCGTTGAGTGCACCCACGCAAGTTTTTCTTAATGTGATCTTTGGTGTGATGGCGCAGGGCTGGGGACTCACAGAGACGGTGTGTGTGGGGACGAAACAACTGCGTGGAGATATGGAGCCCGTCGTGGCCGGACAACAGGAGCGGGCGTGTGAGATGCGACTGTTGGATGTGGATGAGTACAAACACACAGACAGGCCAGAACCCCGTGGAGAGGTTTTACTGCGGGGTCCTTTTCTGTTTAAAGGATACTACAAGCAGGAGGCCCTCTCACGTGAGGCAATTGATAAAGATGGATGGTTCCACACAGGAGATGTTGGTAGTATCACTACTAATGGACGTTTGCGTATTGTGGGCCGTGTAAAGGCATTGGCAAAGAATGTGTTGGGAGAGTACATTGCGATGGAGGCACTGGAATCTATGTATGCACATAATCAATTGTGTATGCCTAATGGTGTTTGTGTGCTCGTCCAACCAGACAAATCCTATATCTGCGCACTGGCATTAACAGATGAGTCCAAGACGATGGACTTTGCAAAGGAACACGGTATCACAGGTACTTATCCTGAGATTCTATACGATCCAGTATTTCGCCGCAAGGCAACAGAGTCTATGCAGGCAACGGCACGTTTGGCGGATCGACAGAAGTTTGAGTGTGTGCGTCATGTGCGTTTTCTCGGCGATGAATGGACCCCTGAAAATGAAATTTTAACAGCCGCTGGGAAATTAAAACGTCGTGTGATTGATGCAAAATACAGTGATATTATCCGGTCACTCTTTCTCGATGAGTAGAGAGAGAAAGAGGGAGGAGGAAGAGGGAGAGGAAAAGTAAAAAAGAATAACGATTTGTGGGAGGTGCTGCTAAAAACAGTTTAAAGAGTTTTTTTTTGTTTATTTGGTGTGGTTGAGCTCGAGTTTCTTAGCTATCAGATGAATTATATATATATATATATGAAATGTTTGTTTTTTTCTTCTTTTGGCTGTTTCTCTGCGAATGGTGGTGGTATATTGATGATTGTAGGTGTAGCAGTGTGCAAGACATGCTGTTGCGCTGAGGGTTTTTTTTAGGTGTGAGTTTAATGAATAAGAAAAGTGTGGGCACAAGTTTGATTGTTTACTGTTTACTCCTTTCTGCTTTTTTCGCATCTCTTCTCGCTATAGTCGCCGTGTAAAAGTTCAGTTTTGTTGTGATTTGCTGTTATTTATTTTCCCTTTCTGCTGTCTAAAAGAGGAAACTCTGTATGTGTGTGTTTTTTATTTTTTTCAGTGGCGTTTTCCACGTTTTTTTTTTTTTTTTTTTTTTTTTTGGTCAAAGGGATATATATTTTTTTTTTTACGTTGATATATTACTTCTGTGAATTATTTATTATTATTATTGTTGTTATTATATATATATATATATATATATATATATATATATATATATATATATATATATATATATGTTGTTATTGTTGTGGTGATTGATGCTCTTTTTGTTCGTCTCGTTCAGGTTGAGTGGCGGCTATCCACCGTGGCCTCCGCAGTACTTCTGCGGTACCAGGGGATAGACAGATAGCGAGTAGAGAGAAGAGAAGGAAGGAGAAGAGAAGAGAAGAGAAGAGAAGAAAAAAGAAAAAAGAGGTAATGTAGATATACTTTGCATGGATGAAGAATAACTGTAAGTATACATTACATTACAGTGTTTCTCTATGTTTAAGTGTATATTTCTGTGTATTATTGAGATAATATATATATAATTGTTTCTTTATGATTTTCATATCTTCATTCTCTCTCTCTCTCTATCTCATTACAGCTGTTTTATTGCCCCTGCAACTTTTCCTTTCTGTCGTATTCTAACAATTTTTTGTTTTTTTTTTCTTCCTTCTTGATGTGAAACATCAGACATTACTGAAAGCGTACTTGACAATCCTCTTTTTTTATTTATTTACTTCTTTTGGTGATCGTTCATTTTTTCTTTTTTTTTTTTCTCTTTTTCTCTCATGACTGCATATTGAGATTGTTTACCATATTTCCCCCGTAAACTCTTAATATGAATGTGAGTGGATGTGTTTGACGTTTTTTTTTCCTTGTTTGAGGGTAAATTCCCCCTCATACACAGAAACGCAATCTATGACGATATTATTATTATTATTATTATTATTATTATTTATTATTATGACTACTACTGATTCTGAGACTATTTATTTATTCTTCTATTTTTCTTGTGTTTTCTTCTTTGTTTTTTGTTTTTTCATTTTCTTGGCCCGTTTTTTTTTTTTTTCTTCTTGTTTTTCTTTATTTGTTTGACTTCGTTTCTTTTATTATTTTTTTTTTTTCTCACTTCACATTCACATTGCGATCACACGCATGAGAACACATATACACGCTTAGGTACTACAAACTCAAGCGGTTGATATATATATATATATATATATCAAAGGGAAATAGAGACTGATAAAAGGGAATTGAAGAGACGATCATCATTAAGGTGAAAGAAGTTTGAGAATCACGAAAAAAAGAAGGAAAAAAGGAAAACGAAAAAAAAAAAAGGAGGAACGGTAGAAATCGTTGCGTAGTAAAGTGAGGGGAGCAATCAAATAAATAGCAGAAGAAGAAAAGAAGTTTATATATTATATCCGTTCTTACTTCCATACGGTTGATCTGTTCATATAAGGGAAGGTATAGGTACGTCTCCAAACGAAATTGGCGAGTCATCAGACAAGAAGAGAAGCCAAATACGTTGAGGAGACTGAGAGAGCAAATAGCGAAATAAATAAAACATCAATATCATGGGTGGCTGTGTTGTATCTTTGTTGGACTCGAGAAATCGTTACTCTGTTATTCCTCACCCCGATGTGGAGAATTTCCGTGCTATTGGAAATCTGAACATCCCGGTCGCTGGTACAGAGACTCCCAATTCATCCCCTATTTACCGCATCAGCGGAATAACAGAAGAGGAAAACAAAAAAATCGCCAAAGATGCGTATAATGGGCCTAATCTCTTTCAGCAATTTGAGAAGATATGCAACAGAGATCCATCAGAAAATATACTCGCTTACCGCCCTATTGACCGCATCGCAACAGAAAGAATGAAGGATGTGAACACAGGGAAAGAAAAGGAGATGACTGTGACGTATTTTAAGAAAACAGAGTACATGACTTGTAAAGAGTTATGGGAATGCATTGTCTCTTTTGGAAGAGGCCTTGTAGAACTTGGTATCTCAAAGAATGCTAATGTGGCTATTTACGAAGAAACTCGATGGGAGTGGTTGGCTACTATTTACGGTATATGGTCCCAAAATATGACGGCGGCTACGGTGTATGCAAACCTCGGAGAAGAGGCATTGGCCTACGCACTTAAAGAAACTTCTTGTGAGGGAATTATTTGCGATGCGAAGAATGTTGTTTGGCTTGTGAAATTCATGTCAGAAGGTACGATTCCCCAGGCTGTTATTATTTACAATGGGACATTACCCAATTCCTTTGATGCCAAAGATTGTCGTTTAGTTCCTTGGACAGAAGTGGTGGAATTGGGTCGAGCCGCTGGGGATCGCATTCCAATGCAAACACCCAATAATAATGATGCCATTGCATTTATTATGTATACAAGTGGAACTACAGGAAACCCTAAAGGGGTGATGCACTCACATGGTTCTGTATCCGCTGGTGTGAAGGGGTTATCTTTTCGTTTATTGGATAATGTTGGTCCCTACACAAAGGGAGAAACCTATTGTGTCTATCTCCCACTTGCACATATTATGGAATTTTCAGTGATGAGTATCTTTTCCTCTCGTGGTGCTTTACTTTGTTTTGGAACTCCACGAACGTTAACAAAACTTACGGCCCGTCCACATGGTGACTTTGAGGAGTTCAATCCCGTATTCATCATTGGTGTTCCACGTGTTTACGATACTCTTATGAAAGCCGTTCAGGCAAATCTACCACCTGTTGGTTCGCTCAAACGTTCTGTATTTGATCATGCGTATATAAGTCGACTAAAGGCATTAAAAGAAGGATATGAAACGCCATTTTGGAATAAAAAAGTATTTGCCCCTGCACGAGCTATTCTTGGTCGTAATCTCCGCATTGTTCTCTCCGGTGGTGGTCCTCTCAGTGACGCCACACAAGACTTTGTGAATGTTGTGTTTGGCCCCATTTCACAGGGCTGGGGACTCACAGAGACGGTGTGTGTGGGCGGCATTCAGCGGCGGGGCGATATGGACGTAAACACCGTTGGGCAGATGGAGCCAATGGCGGAGTTGAAGTTGTTGGATGTGGAGGGATACAAACACACAGACAGGCCAGAACCCCGTGGAGAGATTTTACTGCGGGGTCCTTTTCTGTTTAAAGGATACTACAAGCAGGAGGCCCTCACACGTGAGGCAATTGATGAGGATGGATGGTTCCACACAGGAGATGTTGGTAGTATCGCTCCAAATGGGTGTTTGCGTATTGTGGGCCGTGTAAAGGCATTGGCAAAGAATGTGTTGGGAGAGTACATTGCGATGGAGGCACTGGAATCTATGTATGCACATAATCAATTGTGTATGCCTAATGGTGTTTGTGTGCTCGTCCAACCAGACAAATCCTATATCTGCGCACTGGCATTAACAGATGAGTCCAAGACGATGGACTTTGCAAAGAAACATGGTATCACAGGTACTTATCCTGAGATTCTATACGATCCAGTATTTCGCCGCAAGGCAACAGAGTCTATGCAGGCAACGGCACGTTTGGCGGATCGACAGAAGTTTGAGTGTGTGCGTCATGTGCGTTTTCTCAGCGATGAATGGACCCCTGAAAATGAAATTTTAACAGCCGCTGGGAAATTAAAACGTCGCGTGATTGATATAAAATATGCCGATGTTATTAAGGAATTATTTCAGGATCCATGAGATCTATATATATATATATATATATATATATATATATACTGGACTATATTCCTTGGTGCTCCATTTAATTTTTTTTTTCTCTCTCGCCTTGCATTACCTTACCTTACCTTACCTTGCTTAGCATCAAAGAGAATCAATGTTAAAGGGTACAATGAGAAACTGTCGTTTTTTGTTTTAATAGAGGAAGAGGAATTCCACGGAAGCGAAAATAAATAATGATGAATAGGATAAAACCTGATTTGCCAACGTTTTTTTTTTTTCTTTGGTTTGTGTAGGATCCTTCTGGGTTGTGCAGACTCAAATTCTTTTTTTTTTTTGCTTTTTTTCTCGCTCTTGTGATATATAAAGCTATTTGTGAGTATATCTATGTTTTTGCACCTATTCTGTTTTGTTTTTTCTGCTTTAGAGTACTGGATATTTGTTTTCACTTTTTTTTTTAAAAAATTGCACCCAGTCGTGATTTGATATCTTGGGTGTTTCGAATTTAAGTTCCCTTTGGGTTCATGAGTCTCTTTTTTATTCTGTTTCTGCATTCTTATTATTATATTATTATTATTATTATTATCATTATTATTATTATTATGTGTTTATTAGTATTATTATTATTATATTGCTTGTTCTCTCAGTCTCTCTGTAAATCTCTCTGTATCGTACTAATGTGTTGTTTATATCCCGCCATACATTTCTCTGGCGGTGAAAACGGTAACTAGAGGATCAACAGAATAATGGGAAACATGTGCGCGTGAGAAAAGCAATATCGAAAAGGAAGAGCAAAGGATAGAAAAGAAAAAAAAGGAGTTTTTGGGTCTTGGTGGCCCTTTTTTCTCTTTTACTCTGCAAGATTTTTTTTTTTCTTTTTTATTTTTCTTTTTTTTTTCATTTCTGTAGGGGACTGTTTACGCATTCTCCCAACTCTTTCTATTGCCATGTGTTTTAGGAGAGGGACTCAGGAAATTTGCTGAAAACGTCAGAATAAGGTGTTTACTGAAAACAAGAGTTATTATTATTATTATTATTATTATTATTATTATTATTTCTACTGTTTTCTCTCTTTTTTTTTTTTCTAGGGCTATGTTAATGAATGAAAATGGTTGGTCCTTGCATCACTCTTTTTAAACATCATTTCCTTTTTCCTCGTCATTGTATCATTTTTATTGTTAAAGCTGCTATTGTGACGGTTAACATCTTTTTTTTTGTTCTTTTCCTTTACTGTTATTACTCTTGATGATGGGATCTCTCTCTCTCTCTCTCTCTCTCTCTCTCTATAGATGCTCAGAGTCTATCTTTCTTTCTTTCTTTCTTTATCTCTCTATGTCTCTCTCTCTATATATATATCTATCTACTGACTTATTCTGTTTATCCTCTACTAGGCGAGGAGGATACCACCCCCTTCTCTCCACCATTCAAGAGAAATAAGTAAATACAAAGCTACATATCTGATATCAACAACAAATCAAGGAAAAAGAAAAGAACGGGAATCAAACAAAAGAAAAAAAAAAAAAAAAACGAAAAGAAAAACGAGAAAAGAGCATCAACAAGAAGGACACATATACTATTACTATTATTATTTACATATTGCGTAAAGGGAGCAGAACTGACTATATCTTATCCCCACAGCGTGTCCAAATGAACGCTGTTCTTGCCCTTCTGAAACTACGGAATGAATACTCACTCGTTCCCAATGCGGCCGCTGTTCAAACACGCAGTCACGGCCTCTTGCTGCAGCCACTGCCTGAGGACTACACAGATCACTCACACCGCCGTGCGCGGGGAAGTGTTAATGTCTCCGGCGGCGAACAGTACAGTCGACGGCGGTTTGTTTCAGCCGCGCAGCCAAATGGGAATGTACACACCGCATGTGATTATGGTGATAATGATGATGACGGCGGTATTTGCTATTGCGACTACTGCGTAGGAGAGGAAGAAGAAGAGGACTTGGCAGATAACGGCTATTCTAATGTTCCGCAAGAGAGTGCAGTCTTCCGTGAACCACAGACGCAATTCCTCAGTAGTGAGGCATTGTTTAGAAAGTATCAAAACGATGATGGGGCGCCATTCTCACCGCTGGTGAAGGATTTGCGGGATCTCTGCATTAAACGGCGGAAGGAGAGAGTAGTGGCGTGGCGTTCTATTGCTACAACTTCCATCACACCTCTTGACGATGAGGGTAATAATAATAATAATAATAATAATAATAATAATAATAATAATANTAATAATAATAATAATAATAATAATAATAATAATAATAATAATAATAACTATGTGAATGATCGTGATGAGAGAGTACATCACCGGACGTTTATTACAATGGAGAAAACAAGATATCGCACATATGCACAGTTATGGGAACGTATTGTGGCCTTTGGTTGTGGTCTGCGATCACTTGGTTTCGCACAGGGTTCGATGATTGGTATTTGTGAGAAAACACGATGGGAGTGGCTTGTGGTCTCTTACGCTGCGTGGTCTCAAAGTTGTGTGATTGTTGTGATGGGCGATGATAAAAGAGCTGCGATGCGTGTAGCGGCGGAAGTGAAATTGTCTGCGTTGATTTGTAATCGCACAGCACTACCGCAATTACAAACTATATTCGCAGCCACAGCAAAGAGAGATCGGGAAATGCCTGTGTTTATTGTGATGGATACTCCCAAGCAGGGCAGTGAGGGAGCCGCTAACAGTACATCCACATTAGGGTCATCATCATTACCATCATTAGAGAGAATAACTATACCAACAATAAGGACAGCAGAAGAAGATGAAAAAGAAAAAGAAAAAGAAGAAGAGGAAGAAATAGGGAAATCATCGCGAGAAGGTCATCCCACGGTAACAGGTGAGACGATTGCAGCAGATAAGACTATAGTACTCACTTGGGAAAATGTACTCACACGCGGTCGTGAGGAGTGGAGACGGCGAGCAGCCGCACGTGTAGAAGAGCGTCGATTAAGACGAGAACAGGAAAGTGAAATCAAACGTTTTCACGCCAGTGGTGGTGAGGCCAATGCTGCACCTTTGTTAGTATCCATCTATACAAGTGAACAAGGAAGAAGCCATAGTGCAAACAATGCGATATCTGTGTGGCCCACAATAGACATGAAGAGATCATATATTCCTTTAACTACACGGACAAAGTTGAATGAAGTGGATGGATGTAGATGTGGATGTGGTATTTACTCTTGCACGTGTAGAGATAAACAATCACTGGAGGATCGTCACAGCCGATTCCCATCAGCACCGGAGACGTCCACAAACACACTATCAAGAACTATAAGTGGAGGTGAAGAGACCTGCACAATTGAACAACAACAACAACGGGAACAACAACAACAAGAACAACAACAGCAAGATGAGGATGACTCGGTACTGCATTTTCCAACGAATTTATCTACATTAGCACTAGTGATGTACAAGAGTGGAGATGCAAAAGGTGTTATGCTTTCTCATGGTGCACTGAAGGCTTCAGTAGTAACGTACCAGGAACGTCTGGATATTATGAAGATAGATGAGGATTACCAACTCCCTCATACTTCCATCTACACAGATAGAAAACCCAATAAGAGAAATAATACAATCCTAAATAAACAGAAGGGAAAAAAAGAAGAGGAAGAAGAACGCCCTACATATTTATCCTATTTACCCATGTCTCATATTATGGAGTTTATTGCTACAAACGTATTTTTACATCGTGGTTATCTTGTATGCTACGGTACTCCACTCACATTATATCAGCGTCCACGTAATACTACGATTTCTCCACAGAGTGACTTGTGTGAATTTAATCCACTTGTTTTCATGGCCGTTCCACGAATTCTTAATGAACTACGAAGAGTATTAGAAGGTACTTTGCCCTCTAGTGGATTTCTATTTCATGTTTTTAATGTTGCCTATGCTGAGCGTCGCCGTGCTATTCTACGCTGTCTTGAAACCCCTTTTCTCAACAAGACGGTATTCAACAAATCACGTGCATTTCTTGGTGGACGTTGTCGGGCGATTATTTCCGGAGGGGCTTTATTGCGAGCAGAGACGCAAGAGTTCCTTGAGGTTGTGTGTGGAGCTGCGGTTCTGCAGGGATATGGACTCACGGAGAGTGCGGGGTGTGGGACGCTGCAGTTTATGTGGGATCCGCAGCGGGAATGTGTGGGTGGATTGCTCGGCGGTGTGGAGATGAAACTGCGGGATATTGGGCCCTGGCGACATAGCCGTAATACCATTAATAATAATAATATTAATAATAGTGTTAATAATAATAATAATAATAATAATAATAGTGTTAATAACAATAGGGATAATTGCAGTATGTGGCCCAGTGGTGAGATACTGTTGCGTGGCCCAACGTTGATGTCTGGCTACTACGCACAGTCCGGCGAGACGGCACGTGTGATTGATCACGATGGTTGGCTGCACACCGGTGATATTGCCGAGCTGCAGTGCAACGGCGCCTTGCGTGTGATTGCCCGCATTAAAAATATCGCGAAGAATGCCTGTGGCGAGTGTATTGATCTCGAGGCATTGGAGGGTGTATATAGTCAACACCCACTGTGTACCCCCGCCGGGGTATGTGTGCTCGTCCACCCACACCGCTCCTACATTGTGGCACTTGTGCTCACAGATGAGAGACGCACTCGTGCCTTTTGCGAAAGTGAATCCACAAACTCGCAATGGCCCGAGTGGCCGTTTATTCTGCAGGAGCCGATATTTCACCGTAGAGCTGCGAATGCACTTGTGCAATTAGCGTTGGAACGAGGGGTGCGGCCGCATGATTGTGTGCGTGCGGTGCGGGTTTTGTTGGATGTGTGGAGCTGCGAGAATGGCGTGCGGGCGGCGAGTGGTGCTATTCACAGACGGGCCATAGAGCAACGCTACGCTAATGTTATTAAGGAATTATTCCAAGAGGATGAATAATAATAATCAGAATAATAATATTAATAATAATACCAGTAGTTGTTATCATCATCATCATCATATCAGGAGAGTCTCCTGTTTGTATATATATATATATATATATATATGAGGAAAAAGAGATGGTACACTACATGATGGTTGTATTGTTTGGGATACTAGTAGTACAGATATTGTCAATGTGAGAAAAAAAAGAACACATACAGAGAGCAAATCATTCTTATTCTGCTTCTCTGCGCCTGAAATACCATTTTTTTTTTTTTTTATCCTGCTTAGTTTATTATTTATTTTAGTATACAGCGTTTCTTTTATTTATTCTTTTCTTTTTATTTATTTATTTAAATATTTTTATTTTTACTATCGGTCTTATCGTGGGAGAACATTACACACTCTATACGAAGAGTGTGTGTTGAACAAAAGGCAAGGCGTCAGTTAGTTATTTATTTAGTTGATTATTTAGTTAGACGGATGAATGAATGAATGGATGGATGTGAATAAATCACATTGTAATAGCACATCAAGCACTAGAAGATCCACCGTGTACTCAAAGAAAAAAAAAAAAAGAAGAAAAAAAAATAATAGAAAGAAATGGAGTGATGTAGATTCCAAGAAGAGAAAAATGAAGAATGAGGAAATACCTCGTTCTGCAATAATGATTATTACATGTGAGATCCTTCTATTTGTTTGTTTTGTGTGTGTTTGTATGTGTTTAGTTACTTGTAAAGAGAATATACACCCAGATTGGGTTTATTTAAATGAGAGAGATGAAGGAAGATAGATTAAAAAAAAAAAAAAAAAAACGTTCTTGTGTATCTACGTTCATTTTTTTATTTTTATTTTTTACTTATTTACTATTCTTTTTTGATTTTTCCTCTATAGAGAGACTGCATTGGAGTTTTATGAAGTAAAGATTATCTTCTTTTTTTCTTTTTGTTATTTATTTATATATCTTTTTATCTTTTCCCGTTGTTTTCTAACACCTCAACCCATATTTATTCTCTTTGTTTCTTTCTTTCTTTCTTTCTATTGTATTGAACCACGTCCATGACTGAATAACTGCTCACCATGTACACATTTACACTATTTCCACACATCTCTACATATCTTCTCTTTTATTTTCTTCTTTTATTTTCTTTTATTTATCTCAGCTGCTGTGTTAGTGGAAATAGGGACGACTCTCTCTGGGGCTACACACCACCATCACCACCACTACGAATTATCACTATTACTATTAATTATTATTACTATTACTATTAATTAGTATTATTATTATTATTATTATTATTATTATTATTATTATTATTAATATTTAAGGTCTGGTAACTGTGGGATCCATGGCGGCCTCGCCACTTGACTTTTATCTCCCGCCGCCAGACGACCGGGCGTACAGACGCGAACGCATTCAACGGCTGCGGGATCACATCACCGCCTGGCGCCGGCACGCACCCCGCCGCCATAATGAAACAGCGCCCATCACACCAACACTGCCAGCCGCCCAATCCACACAATCCACCATTCGATCAGCCGCAGCCGCAGCCGCCGCAGAACTTCCCCGCTGGCGAACGGCGGCTGTTTCCCCCACACGCTCGTGTGGATCACGGCATGAGAAGATATTCCTGCAGTCGTTAATAACAGAGAACTGGCAGCGGGCGCGGAGTGGCGGCACACCCCGCAAACACATCTACACACGCGGCAGCAATCCAAACTCAACCATCAGTCGCGTGATGGAAGTGCCGTACTTTCACAATCAAACCACCTTTTGTGTGCCAGAAGATAAAACGCACAGCACGGTCGATGAACAGGAACAACAAGAACAACAACAACAAGAACGAGAACGAGAATTCCAACATCTGAAAGAAGAAGAAGAAGAAAAGGAACGACAACAGGAACGGGCTGTGGAGATGTGGTATGGTGTTACTTCCAACAGTGAGGAGAGTTTGCGGCAGTTGGAGTTGGGAACTATTCACACCAGCGGGGCAAATTCCACTTCAAAGAGTACAGGCTTCAACAGCAGCGGTTATGTCGATGGTATGAATAATAGTAATAACTACAGCAAGTATAATCCAAATAGCAGCAGTCCGAAAGACAGAACTGCGCTGGGTGAAACAATGGGACGAGACGCCAGTTTGATTGACTCCTTCTTTGCACTTAAAGTACAAAGTGTGGATTTGGCAATGTCTGTGCATGCGGAGCGAATGCGGCAGAAGTCTATGCAACGACGGGCGAGAAGAGACAGTGTGCATAATCAATTAACCGAACAAATGTTCAGCCAAACAATGGAGATTCCAATTGACTGGGATGAGTTTAGACGTCTCTCACCGGAGCGTACCACCACACAAGCAAAGACAGCTATGGAAAGCTATCCCCTCGCGTCCATGTCAAACAGATCCATTAATAGTAATACGAATACGAATGCTAATACTAATAAAACAGTTGCTGTTATCCAAAGTAATAATAGTACTAGCGGTACTCCTTATAACCGTACTATCCATAGTGATAATCCTCACGCTAGTAGTAAAGCTGCTGTGGGAGATGTAGAGAATATGCAGAGTATCACCAGACCGCGGACCACAACACCAATCGGCCGGCCGCCTCTGCGACTGTACGCCATTCGTGTGCGTCGCAAAGTAACGAACTCCGAAACTTCAATGATGCGCACGGCGGAGCCGGCACCGCGTCTAGGCACGCGTGTCGTGCTCCCCAAGTCGTGGGGGAATTAATACACACAAATATTGTTTGTATACGTATATATAATAATATATACATTAATATATATATTAATATATATATCTTTGTGTGTGTGTATTTGTATGGAAATGTATGATAATGTACGTATGACACGGTTTGCTTTGTTTGCCTATTTGTGTGTTTGCTTATTTGTGGATGTAAATGGGAGAGACAAAAGTGGTGTGTCATGTATCTATGAAGAAAAGTATATTTATAGTATTTCCCCAAAAGGGATATGGAAACAATGGAAAGAAAACATACATATAATTGTAAATGTATATATATCGGTGGATGGAAACAGTAGCGATGTCTTCACCGCACATTCACAGATTTCAGGGGTTTTCCACCTTTTTTCTTTTTCTTTTTCTTCTTTACTCTTCTTGTGTTTGCTGCAAGTTTTTACTGCTGGACTTTTTCTTTACTCAAACACAGCAGTACATATATTTCCTTTTTCTTTGTTTACACAAATATATATATATATATAATATTATATACATGTATACATATATACATATATACATATATATAATATCAGTGTATGTATCTGTCTTTGTATGGGGTGATAGACTTGCTGACTGTTTCTTTCATTTTTCTTTTTTTTTTTTCTGGCTTCCAATTTTCCCATTTTTTCCTTGAAATGGATGGAATATCTCTCTGTGTATGGTAGTTTGATTTATGTTCTGTGGACAGGCTTTCACACACACACACACATTTCAGCATCTATATTTCTACAGTAATTATTGCTGTTTATTGTTGTTATGACTGAAAAAAAAATATATATATATTCTCTCTTCTCTCTTTTCTTTCATTTTTCTCTGATCTCGCTGTAGATGTCGGGCCGTTGTTTTCTCGTCTACCCGCTCCCCAGCGTCGCCGATGAGTCGTTTCTCACGCTTCTCTTCGGCCACGGTGTTGTGACGCGTAGTGTTTTTGCGGGATTTGCCGCCCGCCGCTTCGCCCTTGTGGAGATGTGCAACGTGACCCACGCCGAGGCTGTGCGCCGTGCGATTAGCGCCGTTAATGATTCTACACAAGATAGCAATAATAATAATAATAATAATAATAATAATAATAATAATAGTAATAATAATAATAATAATGGGGATAGTGGTAGTAACAGTCATAGTGAAGGACTGGGGAGTATGTGGCTCACGGAGGAGGACCGCACACTCGGGGAGTTGTTTGAGGCCCATAATGCGGCAATGGCTGCGAAGAAGACGAAGAACCATAAGAACAACAGTAAGAATAATGATAATAATAATAATAATAATAATGATGATAATAACAATAGTGTGGATGTGGATAGTGGGAATTGTTTGGCGTACATTGGGCGATTACACTTCCGCGGCACGCGTCTGCAGATAACGCCTAGTCCCATTGAAATTGAGGAACTCTACCGTTCAGGCGGACACGTACCACAACGCCGTGCAAAGGACCAACCAAACACGGGAGGAAAACAACACCATCAACATCCAAATCAAAATAATAATAATAATAATAATAATAATAATAATAATAATAATACAGAACAGGAAGAAGGAGAAGGGATAATGACAGGATCCACAAATAGACAATTTCCATCAAAGCGACCACGCACCTTTGAGGCGGCAGACGGAAACTCTCCTCTTGCAGATACCGCCAACAGAGATAATAGTTATCATAATCATCATAATAACAAGAATAAAGAAATGAAGAAAGAAAGAAGCGGAAAAATGGGCGGCGCCGCTTCACAAGAGGCATGCCGACGCTGTGGCTCAACAGCACACTTCACACGACACTGCACAGGAGAAACAACAATAGTAACAACAACAACAACAACAACAACAACAGAGAATAATGAATCTCACACTATTCCAACACACAAACCAGCCGTGAAAGGGACTTTCCCTGCAGATTGCTGTCAAAAGTGCGGGTCATCGGCGCATTTCACGCGGCACTGCACCGGCTCTCATCCTGCAAGTGAGACTATAGGGAACTCACAGGAATTATCAACCCCGACCGTTCATACCACTATTTCTACTACTACTACTACTACTGCAGTTACTAATGCTAATACTACTACTATTGTGGATGAGACGAGTGAGAGAAGAAAGAAACCGCCGACATTACATGAGGAGATGCCCACAACTACACCAAAAGTGGAGCAGCGAAAGACTATAGTTCGAACCTCAAAGGATCAATGTAAGTACTGCGGCTCAGATCTCCACTTGTCTCGTCATTGCCCCTCCAAGTGAGAATATATGTATGTGAGGCTTAACGGGAAAAAAGAAGAGAGGAAGACATGTGGCGTGGAAGAAAAAAAAAAAAAGAAAAGAATCGAAATAGAAGAAGTAAAGAAAAAAAAAAAGAAAAAAAGAAAAGAAAAAGAAGAACGACAACAAATGGAAAAAAAAAATGGAAAGATGTGCGGTGTGGTGTTTTAATACGTTTAAACTTGAGTTGGAGAGATATTCTTATCCAAACAAACATGTCCACTCACAAGTGACAGAAAAAGAAACCAAACAAAAGGAGGCAGAAACATTTCTTTTCCCCCATCAAAACAAATAAATTTCCTCCCTCACTTCATAGACCAATAATGATAGCTTAAGCTTTCTCTTCACGTGATGATTTTATATACTTTTTTCCTTTTTTTTTTCTTTTCTTTTTCTTTTTCTTTATTTCTCACTCTCTCGGTTCTCTCGTCTCTAAAGGGACTGTGTGTGTGTGTGTGGTCTCAATGGCCTCTGCGGCTCATGATGTGAGTTCCCCCATCGTTGAAGCCCTTCGGCGACTCCCGCAGCCACTCGTGTTTATTCATCCAATGTACGCAGTGGCCGCCATTCCAATAAGAGACAATCTTAATACTAATACTAGTACTATTAATAGAAGTAGTCCACAGCACGCAGAAGGGGTTGTAATGAAAAGAGGCGCAGCATCAAAGAGAGGAATGATTAGAAGAGGGGAGGAACAGGGTTCAATCAAGTCATTTCCGTTAGAGACAAACATTACTGAAGTAGAATCACTTACTTTAACATCCTTAGCACAGGAGTTGTTTGACCATTTGCTATGTCAATCAGCGGAGAAAAGTGAAAATAAGATAGCCTTAAATCCAAATAACAATAGAAAAAGAAAACGTTTACAAAGAGCACGTATTCTTATTACTGCTACTGTGCCGTTTCCTTCTACGGTGCCTCTGGTTGTAGAATTAATACATATCTTTCTACGTCAACATGGAAGGCCACGAGGTGTGATCTCGCTTACATGTTATCTGAAGGAGGCACTGGAGTTTATGTTGTATTGGTCTCATCCTTCCATGGGCTTTACCGTATCCGCAAATGTAAACCATCATAACTTACATCCCCAAAAATATTATTATTATCATTATCAACAACAAGAAAAAGAAAAAGAAAAAAGAAGTGCGTTGGAGGTTTTAGCGGATGTTATGTATACTTCTCCATTACTCCTTCGCCCTTGGAGGGAACATCGAGTGCTTGTCGCGATGGCATGTGCACCGGAATGTACAATTCGGGATTTGTGTGGAAGTCGTCGGCTCGCTGCGTGGATCCATCAATACATCAGTAGTGAACGATTGGGTGAATACAATTCCTCTACGAGAATGGAAGAATGGGAGTGGCTGGAGAGATATTTGTCTGCTTTAATGTCAAGAGCAGAAGTTGTGGTCTTTACCCGCACACTCTGTGCGTTATTAATTGCCCTCGAGGTGGAACTCATTACAGACAGTTACCACCACCACAATATCAATAATATCAATAATGATATGGATGATATTGATATTGGTGTTTTGCCACGCAATAGGAATCGTGATGGTGAGGGATTGCGATTACTGCTGGGCATTCTCGCTGATCGCGGCGGACACATGATGAGGGAAGATAAAAGAGAAGAGACATTTCCAGCAAGTGATGACAGTAATGTGGGAGATGATGATGATGATAGTGATAATAATGATAATAATAACAGTAATAGTGACGATACATTTTGGAATTTAGATGATTATCTTTCTCTTCATGTGATGGACGACTCTGTGGCTCTCTTTCTGCGTGAACAGCCAACATGTGTGGAGTTTATTAACACCACTGCAGCGAAGACAAGAGGGAGAAATAGTGGAAAAGATACAAATAACCCCATGGCAGTACGGCGTCTCTGCGGTGTTGTGGATGAGTTGTATCGATTTCTCTCTGAATGGATTCGACTCACTGTTAACGCAGAGATGCGTCGTTTATCAGCCCAGATAACTCCAAAGAAAGAACAAGAAAATAATAATAATAATAATAATAATAATAATAATAATAATAATAATAATAATAATAATAATGACAGGAATAGCAACAACAGCGGAAAGTTGTCAAGACTCACAATAGTAGTGGGTCGTGTACTGCAGACTGGAGCTTCAACGTCGTCGTCGTTGTCTTCTCTTCCTCTCTCTTATGCTCCTGTGAATTTAATGAGTGATATGATTATTGAACAGCAATTACGGTACGCAACAAATGTCAAGAGTGATGAATTACTATTGTGTACGGCAGCGAGGAGCTTTCTTAATACCGACTCCAACTCCACAAACAGTAAGAAAACAATAGGCGGTGAGAAGAACAGGAGTAGTAGTGGTAGCAGGATTGGACATGTGTACAAGAAGACTATGAAACCGAGTGATGAAAAACAGACTCTCTTTGATATTCCTTTGTGGACTAGTGGGGATGATAATAATAATAATAATAATAATAATAATAATAATAATAATAATAATAATAATTATGAGAATATAGAGGATGACAGTATATTAACAGACAAGGTGGAAGAGTCTACGTGGTTTAGTGATCTTATCATTGCGGGTGCTGTTCGTTATTTAGATGAATCACCTACACTCTGGCGAAGACGTGCCTTCTCACACTTGCAGGATGTTGTAACTAATATATCATCATCCATCTCAACAACTGGGCAGCACAATGATGATTCCTTTCTACGATTAGGAACATTAAGTGGTAAACAAGTACATCTCTCTTCATTATCAACATCATTATCATCACCGATGGTGTTATTATTATTATTATTGCGTCACGCTCGTGCAGAAGTGCGATATACATTATCATCGTGGCATTTCTTTCCTTCTTTGCCTTGTAGTGTGAACAGCAAAGAAGGCTGGCGTAATAATAATAATAATAATAATAATAATAATAATAATAATAATAATAATAATAATAATAATAATAAGAGGAAGAAGAGGAATTATCAATTCCTACAGGAATGTTTAGACCCACAGTTATTGTTGGATAAAGGTCTACTGGCTGGAGACCCACCATGGACAAAAATAGAGGCGGATTACTTATTTCTCTTCTTGCGAGAATATAGACAGTTATTACGACGAGCACGTCTGGCACTACAAGAAGAAGGAGAAGAAAAAGGAAATCCATCATCACAATTAATAACAACAACAACAACAACAACAACAACAAGAATATCATCATTATTATCAACAAATGTAACTCTCGGTTTACATCTCATTGCAGCACCATTAGATCCTCAACATCCCACACAAGCAGAAGTAACACAGATGCGTACGGCAATAGATGTATCCCTCGCATCTTATTTACTTCCACAAACAACTCAAGATGAGAGATTTTCTGTAATATTGCCCTTTTCAGTTTTCTATGCACAGTACAGTGAACTTGCGGCTTATTTTTCTTCCACTGCTAAAGGGATACAACAGAGTTCATTAAATTGTAAAAGTGTTGAACGTCTTTGTTTGTCGCTGGGACTTCCAAAGGGGAGTTTTCATCTAATGAAGAATGAAGTTGGACTCACAACGGAGGCAATGGAACATCTGGTTCGATTAGTAAAGGAACAACAACAACAACAAGAACAACAAAAACAACAATGCAAAGAAAGAAAACAAGAAAAGGAAAAAGAGAAATCGGTAACGGAGGAGGTGACAAGGCAAGAATCACTTTCTTCTGCTATTCCCCATATTAACATTACTCTTACTAATGCTCATAATATTACTACTAATATTAATACTTCTCCAATGGGTGCGCCAAGTGAGTCTCGTGATAATAATAATAATAATAATGATAATAACAACAACAACACTGTAATCCATCACCGTGAGGGTATCTTTACATCTTTTCCATTTCATGCCCATAGAGATGTGAATCCACTTACACTTGAGGAGTGGTATTGTATGATTGATGAGATGCTGGCGCCCTCCTCATCTACGTCAACTGATACGGGAGTGAATGCAGAAGTCGTGTAAAGGTGTCGAATTGATGATGATAATATCGTAAAGTGAATGCCATGAATTTTCATGGAGTTTGATCATGGCATTGTAACCGCAATGCATATGAAAGTATGATAGAAAGAGAGAGAGTGTGTATATTTCTGGAGTTCCCTCATAGATTTCTCATTCTCTTTATGTGTTCATCTATTTGTATCTGTAATTTTTTTCTTTTTTTCTGTTAATATCTGTGGTTTGGATGTATACACCCTGTTTCTCCTCCTTTTCTTCTTTTCTCTTTCTACTCTTCTTTCCGCTTAATATTCTTCACCCATCTGTAAGCACAGACGGCCGGGCTGATTGAAACAAGTATCTAACACAGAAAGGAGATAATAGACAATCACAAAAGAAAAGAAAAGAAAAGAAAGAAAGAAAGAGAATAAGAGAGTGTGTGTATATTGTAATCTCTCCTGCTGGAAATGCCGCCCACGAGAACCCCGCGCCACCCCATTAGTATTGATAATGACGAGTCCATTGACTTCTCAGCCGTGGCAAAGTCCACAACATCCACACGGCCAGCAGCTCCACTCACATTACTGCAGAGTGAGACTGGACTGCAGCAACAACAACAACAGGCACCACCCGCCCAACAGGCACAAGATCCACGATTAAAGGCATATACACATCGTGCATTGCCACGCCGGCGTTTGGGATTTGGTGGGGCCGCAATAACTACAATGACTCCAGCAGTAGGAACAGGAACAGGAGCGTCTAGTGAGAATATGAAACTCTCATCTACTGCTAGTGTAACGAACGCTTCTATTAAGAATACTAACAACAACATTAGTAATAGTACTAATACTGCTACTAATAATGATAATAATAATAATGATAATAATAGTGGTAATACTAGTAAGGCTTTAATAGATGCTCTCTGGCGTGAAGAGGCGGTACGAAAAGAAACAGAATCGTACCAGAGTAGACGTGAGACATATGAACATCAATTGCAGGCTCTCTTGCACAGTGGTGCAACGACGACTCTCAGAGATGATGCCGACAAGAAGGAAGTAGTGCCGCCGATTACATATTCTTTATTAGATCAATTCTTTGCCTCTGGTGTTCCGGATGTGGAGCCGTGGGATCTTTGGGCATTATCCATACCACGATACGGTGTGGCTAACATTGCGGGCAGTGGGATGGATCGTGTCTATCACCCGGTGTTGCCTGAGACACACTACTCCCAACACTATATGCATAAAGATGAGGAAAAGCCAATAGTGATAAAAGTAATGAAGACACGAGAGGAGTTGCGTGCTGAACGACGAGAACGTCTGCGTAAAGCGAAGGAAGAGCGTGATCGAGCTAAAAGACTTGCTCATCAAAAACAACAACAACAACAAGGACAGGAAGAAGTAACGAATGGTGATACACTTACCTCGAAGAGTGTCACTGTGAAGGATCGTCTCTCCAACAGTAATCTCCGATATAATCTTTTTAGCGAGAGTGTACTTAATCCTTTGAGTACTGAAAATAAAGTCTTTTCACAATATCAAGAACGATTTCTTGAACATCAACGACGAAATCATGAACGACATGTTGCAGCTATTCCTCATCAAATTGAAAAACGCAAACGTAATTTACATCGTCATGCAGAAGAGAATCCTGTATTTCGTGCGTACCGTATTTTCCCTATTTATACTCCTGCACATTTAGGCAAACTACGAAACTTTGCCAATGATGGTTTACTGCGTGGTTTCATTCTTTGGGTGTGTAATTGTGATGCGTTGGTGGTGTTAACAGGCGGTGAGGTTGCGGTCCGCCACGTGGAGCGGTGGATATTAGAAAAGATGCAGTGGGAGTCGCCGGAGACGGTTGCCGTGCGTCTCATGACATCTCCACTGCAGGACGCTGCAACTTTTTCATTTGTTTCCGCAAAGAGTCGTAAACGGGCACTACAACAGAAAAACAACACCGTACCTGCTGGTAATAGTAATAGTGGTAGTGGTGAGCAAGAGACAGGTGAGCATGTATACATGAATTTTGTGGATAATGTGCGGGATGCGGAGCGGTTTATGCAATCTATGCCAACAGAGGGACCTTGGAGAGATCTCACACATGTATGGCGTGCTTCTCTTACCTCCGGTATGGGAGTGGGTGGGTAGAGAGTGAAGGAGACACTCTCCTGCAGCTAATATAGCAGCAGAAAGATAATGGTTTCAGTGAGGAATATCTGATGTTGGTCAGATCCTCTTATTATTTACTACTTATTCTTCTTCTTCTATCCCTAAACCCAAAGAGAAGCCGGTGTACATGCCTGTATTCAACAGAGACATTGTTGATGCTCCCAGTATGCTTATTATTTCTCTATAAGCTATATAGGCATATGTATGTTTTTTTTTTCTTTTCCTTTACGCTTCATTTCCTTTATTTTTTTTTTTTTTTTTATTATTATTTTTAAATATTAAAATATAGAAACCACATTAGAACTCTAAGAAGTAAGAAAAGCGAAAAAAAGACTAAACAAAAAGTCATTTAAGAACCCCCCAGAATACAATCTACAGTATATAAAAGATGTTTTCCTACCCGCCGTTTTCTCTTACCAAGCCAATGTATGATATGGATACATACTTGGGCCGCTCGCTCTACTTTCTCTCTTCCATCAATCCTCTTCTCTGCCTTGAGACGGAGCGCTCACTGATGAAGTCGCGACTTCTCCTTGACCGCGTTGCCGCTGGTGAGAAGGTGTCTGCGAGTGACAAGGAACTATGGAAGGCCCGCATGGCTGTTGAGAACTGTATTCACCCCACCTCTGGTGAAGTGCTCTTCCCTCTCTTCCGTATGTGTGCGTTTCTCCCCATGAACAGTTTCATCGTTCCTTTCATGATGACCCCTGGAACTATTAACAGCGTCCCCCGCACCATCTTTATTCAGTGGTTTAATCAAAGTTACAACAGTGCGGTGAACTACGCCAACCGCTCCTCCGACAAACAGCCAATGGGTGAGTTGGTGAAGGCCTACACTGCGGCCGTTGGTATCTCCGTCTCTGGTGCATTAGGGGCTACCATGATGCTCAAGCGTGTGCGGGGCGGTACTCTGCAGGCCACCATCATTCGCGCCTCACTTCCGTTTCTCGCCGTCTCTGCGGCCTCCATTGCGAATCTCGCGTTGATGCGCAAGAATGAGTGGATGTCGTCCGGCTCTGGACTGAAGGTTGTGGATGAGGACGGCGAGGTGCGGGGATACAGCAAGGCGGCGGGATTCAACAGTCTGCTGAAGTGCTCCGTCACTCGGGTGGTGTGGAATATTCCCTCCATGGTGCTGCCAACACTTCTGATGGCACCACTCACCGCACGGGTGGCCTTCGCGCGTGGATATCCAATTCTCACAGAGACGGCACTGCAGATTGCCGGTCTCGGCATTGGCGTGCCATTCGCATTGGGTGCTTTCAGCACAACAGTGCACATTCCCGCAACGAGGTTGGAGCCGGAGTTCCATGGACTGAAGCGCAAGGATGGATCTCCAGTGGAGATGTTCACATACTACAAGGGTCTGTAGTGTAGAGAAGGCGAATACATAAGAACGCATATACATATATACATACATACATACATACATACATACCTTTATAAACACATACATATAGAACATATTGAAAAAGGTATATATTAATCATGTAAACATGTGTGTATACTTTTAAATATGTGTTGGTCTATGTATAAACAGTAGAATACCTATATACAAAGCCAACAGAAGGTGTGATAATGGTATGCAGAGTATGCTTCTGTTTTATTTTTAAACCATCTTTTATCTTTTTAAGAAAAAGGGGCAAATAAAGGAAAAAAAAGAGCAAAAGAAAACGGAAATACTACACACACACACATGCATGCAAAAAGCGAAAAAAAACGGTAAATAGAATGGATGTTTTTTTTTTTTTTTTTCGGGGAGGAACTCTTTTTCATTTTTACTTGGCAGAAAAGTATTGTGTATGCTTGTGTCGCTCTTTTTTTTTTGAGTTTATTTTCTCCACCATTTTTTTTTTTGTTGTTCTTCAATAAATGAATAAATATAAATATATCTCTATAGAGACATATTTATATCTATTTATTTATTTATTATTATTATTATTATTATTATTATTATTATTATTATTATTATTTGGAATTATGCCTTTGTACCTCGCTGGAGGTGGGGACTCAAGAAGACATAATTTCTCTCTTCCAGATAGTACATGTCTCGTAGGGAGCGTGGAACCACAAAAAGAAAAAAAAAAAAACGATGTTAACGTATGGATTTAGCATTCTGAAAAAAAAAATTTTTTTTTCCCCCTTTACTTGTTTTCGTATTTGAAAAGAAAAAGAAAAAAAAAGTAAGTTCGTCAAATTGATCCATTATTCTTTAATCCCTCTTCTCGTCTATTTTTTTGTAACGGGAACGGAAAAGAAAAAGAAAATATTTTTCTTTATCATTATATATATTATTTTTCTTTTCTCTTTGTTTGTTTTTCGTACTCTCCTTTGTTTTTTTTTTTTCTTCTTGGATTAATTGTTATTCCTGGTGCTATTTCTTCTTATCCCTAGGTCCCTTAAAAAAAAGAAAAGAAAAAGTATTAAAGAAATAAAGAACTTGGTTTACCTAAAGTTATCAAAAAGAAGACATTATTTTGTTTTTCTCTGAGTATTACGTACCGTCACTCATACATGAGTCAGAGCGACAATAGTCAACAGGCACCTGTGGGAACAGACCATTTTAAGGTATATTTGAAAGGTCCTGAAGCTGCAGCCAAAATAGGTTCTACTGTTTCTATTGCTGCTGCTAATACTACTATTACTACGAAAACATTATCAAACTCTACTTTAGTTGAGAAGAGCTTTGGTCCACCCTCATTAACATCATTTAACACCACTCCTGCAGCATCTACTGCAGTGGAGTTTACTACTAAAGAGTCCCTTGTAAATTTAATTACCTGTGCCTATGCCCATTCGGGTTACCCAACTTCCATCTCTGCAGGGAATTCAGGTAGTGTTATTTACGGGGCATTTGTAGAACTGCGTAATCCCTCGCTTAATAGTATCACATTTCCACCAGATGAGATGATCGTTCTCTCTGACATTCCACGTGAGTCTGCTGGGGAGATGAATGGAGTTCACACACCCTCCAAATCCTCTGATAGCCCGGCAGCAGAGGAGCCATTAGTACGTGTTGTCTGGAGACGAGGTTCGCATCTGCTGAACAGTCGTCTGGCAGAGAAATTGCCCACCACAACGGCGACAGGCCCAACACTTAATAGTCCCAATTCTTCCTCTTCTTGTGGAATAGTTCTCCCACGACTGGCCCCAAATTCTACTCCCCAGCGTTTGGCTAAGTGTCCAGACGGTCTTTGCGATGTGAAAACCTCTCCACGTCTTAATGAGATCGTTTTGGGTTTTCAACCAAATGTCCCACAAACAGATGGTAATGCGGCCCAAGACAACGATACTGGTGAAAACGACGAGAATGCTATTGGTAACGATAATAATAATAATAATAATAATAATAATAATAATAATAATAATAATAATAATAATAATGAGGAAAATGGTGGTAATTCTTCAGAGGCAGTCAATCCTCCACTAGAGAGAGGGATTCCATCTGGGGAAGAAATTAATAAAGATATACCCGTTCAGACTACACTGATCAGCGCTAATAGCTTTAATCATCTCACAATGTATGGAGTAAGACATCAGGAAGGAAAGATTTTGTCTACAACTCCATTACAGTCACTCGTTGCTACAATACCGACACGGAAGATTACTGCTCACTCTCTTTTTTTTCTTAGCACGATTGTTGGGAAAGGTTACGTTGCACCTGGATATCAAGAAGGAGGATCTCCTCAAGTTCTCCATGGAGCGGAAGTGAAACCGGCGAAAAAGAGTTGGACAGTACGTAAGTCATCAGTGTCCAGTAATCTTCCGAATTTAGCAAAAGGTGTAGTAATGAACTTTGAGGATGTTCAGATGGAAGGAGGAACTAATGGTGGTAGTAGTAGTAATGTAGTAAATGTTGCTGCACTCCATGTAGCGGTAGAACCGTATTTACTTTTTGGAAATCAAAGTGGGGATTTATTTCTTTTTAGTGTTTTTGAAGAAAAAATTGTGCAACGCCTTAACTACTCAGGTGGTATTTTTTGTTACAGTAATTCGGAAAATTCAACCACACCAAAAAAACAATTAGTTAGTAGGCCAGTAACTTGTATTGTAGAGGTTGAATGTGGTATTGAAAAGCACCTTGCGGTGGTGATTGATCGAGCCTGTTCATCAAAGGTGAGAAATGAGAATACTTTCGCAGTTCCTTCTGTTACTCCTGATGGAATTCCGCCATCTGTATTTGCGGCCGGCTTTGATAATGGACATGTTCTTCTTGTTAGCATTACACTTGGTGGGGCGTGGCTGAGTGGACATACCACTTCATTTGGAGAACGACCTATTCGAGGAATTGCAGTGCAGACGCCTCACTTTTTTTTACGTCTATGGTCTTCAGAACGGAGAACACGGGATACCACATTTTCCTCACCTCACAAAACACAAAAACAAAAACAACAACAAAAGGATGAGGTGGAAGAAGAAGAAGAAACAGGAAAATTTAAGGAGAGTAATGTTTCTTTTACACATATTGAATTTATTTCATCTACCACACTTATTCTTAGTGAGGATAGCGCTGTAGTTGCTATTAACTGTGATGGTGGGATGTTACGTCTTGTTAAGGCCTCCAATTTGGAGGTGGAGTTGTGTCGAACTGTTGCACTTGCGAATAATACACCTGGTGATTTCTTGGCAATTCAGTGGGTGCCAAGTTCTGCTGAATTCACATTATATCCAGATCTCATTGTTGTCACGACTGAAGATGATAGCATGATGGTTTATCAGTTTCTACAAATGAATGGAGGTTCAAAAGGTAAGTTTACAAATACGTTTTCATTCCCTGAGGAAACAGGGCCACCTGGTCCAATGAATAGTAGTAGACTCTTAAGGAACAATAGTTACCAACGTACAGGTGAGAGTTTGGTATTTCTTGAGCGTCGTCGTTTTCATCGCTCATGGGTAGGAGATTTATCTTTACTACCCATTTCAGATGCTCGTTTGTTAATTGCGACATCTTATGATGGTCAAAGTTCTTTTTGGCCTATTTATCATAGTGTTGTAGAGCAAAAATCGAAAGATCATTTTTTACCAACACAGTTCGAAAGCAGTTCATTTATCCAAGAATGTTTCTATGATTGTATCATTCAAGATGATAGCAGTCAGTGTATTAGTTCGAAACTGACGACGACTGTTTTGGCTGACGAACCAGCCACATCCGTAGTATTACACACAGATCTAACAGTTCGATGCACGGTTGGTGGTGCTGGATGTAGTCACTTCCTTGTCTCACTGTGTATTCGAGGGCGTGTGAAGTTTTGGGAGGTGAAGTCATTATTGAGCTAAGTTCCTCTTAGTTGAGATATTTTCCTTCTGTTTTATTATTATTATTATTATTATTATTATTATTATTATTATTATTGTTTCCTTTGGTTGCTTGGAATCATTCTTCTTTGATTTCCTCATTTCTTTTGTACCCCCTTTTTTCTATTTACGTTATTTACGTTATTTCAAATGATTTTTCTTTTTCTTTTTAAATGCGTGTTGTTACTTTGGTTGACGTAACCATTGATATCTCTGTTTCACATGTATTCCCCTTCCCACTTTATTTGTAGGGATTCTTATCATGATTGTTATTATTATTATTGTTATTTTTTGTTTTCTCTTTCTTTGGACTGCTCGTTATTATTATTAATTTTTTTTCTTTTTCTTTTTGTTGTCATTTTCTCCCCGCTCCTTCCAACAATAAGAAGAAGGAAAAGAAAAAAAAAGAAAAAAAAAAAGAGGAAATAAAGCGAAAGGGACCTACTGTGTATACATGACATTTTCCCGAATGATTGCACGTGGTGCAGAGCCATTTCTTTGTTCTGGACTTCGACGACGGGCAATTTTTGCCGCTTATAGTAACAATTACTTCACCGGTAGGGCAGTGACTGTAGTGACGTCTAGACGCACATACATGCCACTGCCGAATGATCAGACAGATTTCTCTCCTTACATTGAAATAGATCTGCCCAGCGAAAGTCGTATTCAAGCCATTCATAAGAGTGGTCTTGGGGCACAGGATTGGGTGGCATGTGAGAAGGTACATGGGACAAATTTTGGTATTTATCTAATAAATCAGGGAGATAAAGAAGTTGTACGTTTTGCAAAGCGTAGTGGGATTATGGACCCTAATGAAAATTTCTTTGGTTATCACATTCTTATAGATGAGTTTACAGCACAAGTTCGTATCCTAAGTGATTTACTAAAACAGAAATATGGTTTAAGTCGCATTGGACGTGTTGTGCTTAATGGTGAATTGTTTGGGGCTAAATATAAACATCCACTTGTTCCTAAGAGTGAAAAGTGGTGTACAATGCCAAATGGGAAACGATTTCCAATAGCGGGTGTTCAAATTCAGCGTGAACCATTTCCACAGTATAGTCCTGAATTACATTTTTTTGCGTTTGACATTAAATATTCTGTGAGTGGAGCGGAGGAGGATTTTGTGATGCTTGGCTATGATGAGTTTGTGGAGTTCTGCTCCAGGGTGCCAAACCTGCTGTACGCAAAGGCCCTCGTGCGTGGTACTTTAGATGCTTGTCTGGCCTTTGATGTGGAGAACTTCTTCACGCCCCTCCCCGCCCTGCTGGGACTTGGCAACTATCCGCTGGAGGGAAATCTCGCGGAGGGCGTTGTGATTCGCCACGTCCGTCGCGGTGATCCGGCGGTGGAGAAACACAACGTGGCGACGATCATCAAATTGCGCTGTTCGAGTTTCATGGAGTTGAAACACCCGGGGAAACAGCAGGAGTTGAAGGAGACATTTATCGACACGGTGCGGGCGGGGGCACTGCGGCGGGTGCGGGGAGATGTGACGGTGGTGGCGGAGTCTATGCTCCCGCAGGTGGAGGCGGCGGCGAACAATCTGCTGCTCAACAACGTGAGTGATGGGCGGCTCAGTAATGTCCTCTCGAAGATTGGACGGGAGCCGCTCCTCTCAGGGGAGGTGAAACAGGCAGATGTCGCCCTCATGCTGGCAAAGGATGCGTTAAAGGATTTTCTCAAGGAGGTGGATGAGTTGGTGCTGAACACGAGTCTCACGTTTAGAAAGACACTCATTGTGAATGTCTACTTTGAGTCGAAGAAGTTGGTGGAACAGAAATGGAAGGAGATTTTGCGGGCAGAGGCAGACGCAAAGGCGGAGTCGGAAGAGGCTGCAAAAGAAAACGCGTAAAAAAAAAAAAAAAACATCCATTGTGTGATTCACACAATGTTCTTCCTATTAATAGGAGATGGTGTTTGGGTTTATTTGTTTATTCGAAGCGTTTTTTTTTTTTTTTTTAATGACGATTATCTTTCTATATGTCTCTCTCTTTTTCTCTGTCTCTGTCTGTGTCTCTGTGTATGATGGAGGTTATTTTTATAATATATATATATATATATTCCTCCTATTGCTTCATTCCGTTTTTGGATTTATGAATTTTTTTTTTTTTTTTTGCGTTTACTCTTTGTTGATGATTGATGGACTTAACTTTATTCCTTTTCCACCTTTTTTTTTCTTTCGTTTCATCTCCCTTATTCACTTCTTTTTTTCTTTCTTTCTCTATTTGAATTTTAAAGCAATTCTGCTGTGTAGGTGAGAGTGGACTGGGGGTGTTGCTATTGGTTAGTGGTTGTTAGTGATAGTAAAAGGACACACACCAGTCAACTCTCTACATTTAACATGAGACCATCGCTTGCCCAAACCATTGAGGGTAAATATGGTGCTATGAATACAGAAGTAAGCGAAAACGGAAGCAGTAACAATGCTTCACATTTAAAGAAAGGTCATAACTTGAATGAGGGAATTAGTATTATTCTTCTTTCTACCTATAATGTTCCTCATGGACTAAGACAGTACGCATCCAATATGCGGATATCTACAAAGTTTGTAGAAGAGTACCTCGCAAACTATCGCGATGTTATTCTTCTTGCGAGGGAATATGGAGAAAAGACTGAAACAGAGCGAACACATCTTCGCCTACATCTTATGAAACTACGACAAAATGGTGGAAACACCGACGCAAACAGTTCGGCCTCATCTATTCTCGAACAACAACTCTCTGATCTCATGCATTGTGAAAATAGCGATACACAACCTTTCCTCCTCTCAGAGTCTTTGCGGTATGATCAGATCCTGCGGGATATGCGGCTGCTGGCGCGGGGTCTTCTCATTCCCACTGATCTTCTTCGTTATCATCATCATTGGCTGCTGCTGCAGGAGGACGTGCGGCTCACACTCGCCGGTCGTATTCATCACTGCCGCGTTGTGGCCCGCCGATCCCCGCCAGTGATTTCAGTGCGGCGTCTGTGGAGTGAGTTGTGGGAACTGCTCGGGGCAGCGTGGCGGCAGCGTCGACGACTGATGGGCGTTGAGAAACCGAAAGGGAAAGAAGAAGAATGTAGAGATGATAAGAATAGTGGAAGGAAGGAACATGAAAGTGATGAGGATGATAAGGAGAGTGATGCCTATGCATTTGGACCATTGCTCCCCCATCGTATTGGTGTAACGACAGCGAGGCATTATGCAATTCGATCTCCTTTATTAGCGTTTTTACGATCTCTGCGTGTGCAGGTGTGGGATACACCAACCAGCAAAACCCGTGGAAATAATGGGATATACACAACAAACACAACAACAACTACTAATACTAATACGACGAGGAACAGCCAAACAGGGTTTCGTGCACACTCTCCCTCATCACCTCGTAAGGCGGCGAAGGGTTTTTTAGGTAACTCTTCATATCATACGGAGAAACAACAACAACAATATCATCATCATCAGCTGATACACAATGCCCCTTTTTTTGATATAACGACAGAAGATGTGGAGGCTTGTCGGGTGCCTTATTTATCACCGCAGCAGTTTAAACATTTAAGATTGCATGGCGAAGATGTTACTGGGGATTGGCAAGGGACATTTGTGGCTCACACTTATTCAGATGATGTATGGAATATAGCTGTGTTAACGGTAGAGTTTATGTTAACAGGTTTTACACTCGCCAAGAGTTGTTGTGCTCATCCTGATCATCACACTCCCCCAACATCTTCACTATTTGAGGATATTGTAGAGATTCTAGTGGTATATCACAAGATACCATTTGAAGGAGCACAAAACTTTATCTACGCAACACTTCACGAACTTTCACTTTTGTTGCTGAAGTCTACAGTAAGGTCAGAGGAAAAGGAAGGACAAGACATGTATGAAGGGATGGAAAATAGTTCTAGTTATCAAGAAGAAGGACCATTACCACAAAAACTGGCAAAGGAGTGGTATTATTATCTTCGTGAAACATACAAAAGCGATGCTGATAACGCACTTCTTAGAGAAATTGCAGAAAATGGTCTTCGTTGGTCTCGTCAAGAGCGATGGGAGGCATTTCAATCTGCACACGCTCTTGTATTGAATGAAGATAAGAAGAATAACTATAATAATAGTAATAATAATGGTAATAATAATAGTAATGGGGGAAATAATTATGCAGAAGATGTTCTAAACACGTTGATATCTCCTTTAATGCCTCTCCATCCTATGCTGTTTTCTTCTGCATTAAAGAATGATCTTGATGAGAGTTTATTTTCACTGGATGCATATAAACTATCCTCATCCTCATCCTCTTGTTTCTCCCTTTGGGAGTTTCAAATGCAAATGCAGTTATGGCGTTTAAGTGTTGGACGTCACGCCGTTATCGATGGAGGCTGTCGAAAAGATGCCGAGGCAAAACAGGCCGTTTTATTTAGAAATTTTATTCGACTTGTGCGGCGAGCATTGAAGCTACAAAAAACAGAAAATGGAGAAAAGGGAAATATTTCAGGACACCCATATCATGATTTAGACCATACAAACACTTCATTACGATTACATGATGATGAAACCGTACAAGTAATGATACTGCATGAGTTTTTACGAGGATTGAGGGAACGTGGGGCCCTCTTTTCATATTGTGTAAATATGTTACCTCCACAGGGAAATAATAAAAATGATAATGTACTCAATGTATTTCCCTTTTCACAAGTCTTTCTTTCAATGAAAGATCTTCTCTCACTATTGCATAAAGATGTGATGTCACTTAGCGCCTCATCCCCCGCCACTTCTGTAACCATAAGTGTACTTGATAGTATTGTTGGTAACAAACTACATTTACAAGGTACTTCACCTTCTTTCTCTCCTACACGAGTTCAATTACCTTCAATGGTGACAGCGAGAAGAACAATACCAACAACAACAACACCTGGTGCAAAAGTGGAACTTCTCTCAATTGCGAAGCGAGTCATCCGCACTATGGATTTGAATATCGTGGATCAACTTAAATTAGTAACGGATCTTCGTAATCTTCTGCTAGTCCTACCAATGACAAGACGAGCATCACTGTTGTGTCAATACTTACAAGATGCTCATATTGCTGGAAAAGCAAGAGAAGTACCAATTCCTGCAACTATACGTGGAGAAGTATGGGGAGCTTTACTGCAAGTACCATCAAGTACTGCCCGAGCTAATGCTTATTATGCTTTGAACACCGCACTTCCCTCATCTGCTGATAGACAATTGTCTGTTGACATTCCACGTTGTCATCAATATCATCCATTGTTGGCATCAGCGGCGGGACACGACCGTCTTCGCTGTATTATAAAGGCATGGCTCTTAATGAACCCTGGACTCACATATTGGCAAGGCATGGATAGTGTTTGCGCTATTCTTCTTTCTGTTAGTTTTACCAATGAACCACTGGTATTGGCATTATTGCAGCAATTAACAGAACTCTTTATTCCACATGATGCTGTATCCTCCATTTCTTTACGAGTTCGAAGCATGGAGGATCATTTACACCAGTTTGCTGTACTAGTGCGATATTGTGATCCTCTTTTAGCTTTTCATCTTTTTGACGAGGTAGATTGTCGTCCAGAATTATTTGCGATAAGTTGGTTTCTTACTCTCCTTGCACACAGTTTGCCAGTAGGGAAAGTTTGTTTACTATGGGACTTTCTCTTCGTTTACAGTGATATCTATCCACATTGCCTAACTGTACTATGTTTATCAGTACTTTTACAACATCGAGATCGACTACTCGGTAATGATCTCTCCATCTGTATTTTGACACTAAGTCGTATGCAGAACATTGATGTCCAACTCGTATTATCAGATGCCGTAAAGCTGCTGAGAACGATACCACCTGCCGTTGCGTGTCTACCGTATTATTCAATGATGTGGAGTGAAAAGGTGCGGTGCCGCAAGGTTTCTCATATAGATGTTCAAACAATTGTTGAAGCTTTCCAAATGGAAGGAGAACTTAAAGAAAGACATCAGAAGCATATGTGGATGAGTTTAGGATTATTTCTTGTGGATCTCCGAACAGAGAGAAGATCAGCAACGGCATTACCACAACAGCTTGCACCTATGGAGGAACGTGTTATTGGGGCTTTACTCTTTCCCATGATGATTCCTTCAACAAGTGATGATCATACAGATTCCACAGTATTATCTCAACGCTTTATTACTAATTTGGCTACTGAACTGCTTTTGCAAACGCGCAATATGGCGATGGCAGCTCTTCCACCCTTTTCACCGTCTGCTACTTCAAAGACAATGTATACAGGAGATGAAACTAGTGAATCCTCTGCTTTTTTGGAGAAGCAGGTAATCTCTCCTCATATTGTATTATTTACACAAGGTTCTGGACAACGTGAGAGTGCAGAAGCAGAGTTACTTGCATTAGAGTTGGTACGATCTGGTACTCCTCATGTCTCCATTCTCCTTGGAGGTTTTGCTGAACTTAAGCGCGAGGCACCGCAGCTAATTGTGGAAGTGGAGGAAGGCTGATGAACAGCTTCTTTTTTATCTTTTTTTTTTTGCTACTTTTCTCACTTTTTTTTTTGTTTCCTTTTTCAGTGTTGCAGTGGTTTATTTATTTATTTATTCAATATTTTTATTTTATGTTGTGCATGGACACGTGCGTTTGTATATTTCCATTTCTTTTTATTTTATTTTTTTATTGTTATTATTATTTACTCTCTTTGTGTGTGTGTGTTTGTAATGTGAACTCACTTTGTGATGGATGATTGAACTTTCTCCTTTTTTTTTTGCTCTTGTTACCTCTCTTATTTCTACTACTACTACTACTACTATCGCAATAACTCTGTAAAAGATTGAAAGAGTAATATTTGTGAATTTAGAGGGAGATGGTGAAAATTCAGTGTATTGATGAGAAGGGCAATATCTGCACAGTAGATGTTGATGTAAACTCACTCGTTGACGACATGAAGGCAGTCCTTGAGGTTGAACTAGGTATCCCAATGGATGAGCAGGAGCTCAGGACTGCTAGTGGGATGATGCTATGCAGCAATGAGACCTTCAGTGCTCAAGGTATTGTAAGTGATACTCAGTTAACAGTGCGTCGACAACCTCTGCAGGAATCACAACAACCACCACCAAAACCACAACCACCAAAACCACAACAGCAACCACAACCACAACGCTCACAACAGCATCCGCAACAGGAGGAACGCTTATCGCTTGATGAGGCACGTGCACGTATTGAGCAACTTTTTAATGCAAGGATGGCCCAAGGACAAGGGGGGTGGCCCATGATGAATGAAAATGATCCGAATCTACAACAACGCATATATGATCATATTCAGGCCCGCAACGTTGATGAAAATCTGGAAAATGCTCTAGAACACGCCCCTGAACTGTTCATACCAGTAACTATGTTGTACGTAAATTGTGAAATTAACAAACACAAGGTGAAGGCCTTTATTGACTCGGGTGCGCAAAAGTCAATTATTAGTGCCCGATTAGCAGAGGAGTGTGGACTTACACGACTCATTAACACCAAGTGGAAATCTCTTTTACGTGGTGTTGGTGCAAAGCAGGCGATTGGTCATATTCACATGACAGTGGTGAATCTCGGTGGTCTCTTTATTCCCTGTTCGTTTTGTGTGCTGGAGGATGATAATATTGATCTTATTATTGGTCTTGACCAGTTGAAGCGTCACAGAATGATTATAGATTTGAAGGAGTTCTGCCTGCGCATAGACGACACGGCGATTCCGTTTCTTCCTGATCATGAAGTTCCTATGGGTAAAATCCCTGATGAAGAAGAGTTGCAAAAATTAAAGGGGGATGCAAATAAGAGTTCTGAGTCCTCTTCTTATCCGTCAACAGGGGTGACGTCGGCGGGAACAGCACAAACACCAGGAGTCGCTGCAACAGCTGGTGCACCAACTCGTACAACGGGTGGTACCACAGGTGTCTCCTCTCACACGAGTGGAAGTAGACAAGGTGGTGCGATAAATGAGAATGCTGTGGCAAACTTTATGTCACTCACTGGTATTGATAGGGAAAGAGCTATTTTGCTACTGGAGGCAGCTGGCTGGGACGTAAATATAGCCATGTCACTCCTTCTGGATGATTAAACAGTAAATGTATTATGGGTATTTCTCATCTTCTGACTTTTTTTTCCCCTTAAATTGTTAGTTATAGGTTTTTTTTCTTGCGACAGAAGGAATGGGAATCTGCTTTTCTTCTTTTAGTGGTAATTTGATTTTTATCTCGATATGTGGATATCTGTGTTTGTGTTTCTCTTTTTTTATATGGTTTTTATTTTTTTATTTATTTATTTGACGTCTCCACTGTATAGTCTCCACTTACATTTACATTTCATATGGATATGTTTTTTTTTTCCTTTTTTTCCTTTTTTTTTTCTTTTTCTCTCTTTAGGTTGTACAGGATGCGTTCTTCTACGAACCAAAAGGGGAACCGTACGGTTTTCTTGCCTCGTGCGACGATGTGTTCCCTCTCCATTGCGAATGCTGGCGGTAAAGAAATGCAAAGCCTTCCTTTGGTCCCTCATTGTGCTGAGGTGGCCCCTATGCCTGAACTGAACCTAGACGAGACGCTTCGTATTCGCAGCGTCTTCTTTGATCATATTCATGACGAGTATATCAACAACACCTTTGATCTCCGTGTGGTGTTGGCGGAACTTGGGCTATATCCCTCTGAAGAGGAGCTACAACTGCTGCTCGACACCTACGAGCACAAAGTGAACGTTACACATCTCTGCAATTATCTCCGCTTCTACAAGCGGGAGTATCAACTGACGGAGCGGGCCCGGAGGAGTGGTGCCCGTGACGGTGGCGGCGGCTTCTTCTCCCCGGAGGAGCGGGAGGACACGCTGCGGGCGTTTGTGGCCCTCGGCGGCCGCGAGGGGGGCGGCGGGGCGGTGGCGCTCGCGGATCTCCGCCGGGTTTGCCGCGCGTTTGGCCTCGCCGTCGACGTGGACGCGATGGCGCGGGATGCCGGCGGCGACGCGGAGGGGCGGGGGGCCGTCGACTTCGCCGCCTTCACGGCCCTCTGGCGCCCCCCGGGCGACGGCTCCGGCTCCAACTACTCGGGCTCCGCCGAAAGACGCCCCTCCCGCTCAGACACCACCACCACCGCCTACGACAGGGCGATTGCCGCAGGTGCACGACGGCGATCCGCCACACGCGAGTTTCCAGAGAACTATAAATTTCCACAAATTTCAGGAGCTTCCGTGCACACCGCTGTCCCACCTAACAGTAGCATTATGAATATCAACAACGGCGGCAATAATAATATCAACAGCAGCTACAATCCCCTCTCGGAAGAGGAACATCTACAAGCACTGCGACAGTATCTTTGCCCAGAGAAGTGTGGTAGTGGTCACGATGCAAGCTCTGTAAACGCAGCTAACAGTTCAGGAATCAACGGAAGTCCCAGTAATATCAGGCGCAAACCAGGCCGCAACGTATCTATACAGCAATCACTATATACCATCCCACAGGGTGAAGTGGAACGACACCGCAGCATCGTAGGAACGCGTGAAGAAGCTGGAGGGTTAGCAGCAGCAGCAGGAAGCGGTGGAGCAGATGAAGACGGAACGTTACCAGCAACTGCGGGGGGATTCCGTGCCCCAAGTCCTATGATTCTTTCACTACGCAACAGCGCCATATACAAACGTCGATTGATGACATTTACGCAGAGAAACAAAACAAAACCAAAAACAAGCAGAAGCCCAAGTGGGTGGACGCGATCTGCTTCAGTTGTACCTGATGACGATCTTGGACGAAGTTAGAAACCGCCAGGCGAAAAAAACAAAGTAGAAGAAAGAGGGAATGAAAGAAAAAGGAAGAACTGCTGGGCAAAAGAGATGCAAAAAGCAAAAAAAAAAAAAAAAAACAACAACAAAACAAAACAAAGTGATTCACCCATGTACATAATTATTATATGTTCTACGGAAGGAAATGTAATGACAATGGATAAGAGAAGACAAGTGAGCAATGATGATGATGAAAAGCGAAACAAAAACAAAACAAATGATCAATTGAAAAAAAAAAAAAAAAAAAAAAAAAGCTTTGCGTGCAATATATCATCATAACCTTTCCGCTTTGTAGCGATCCCTTGAACATGATTTTTTGAGTTGTTTCTCTTCTTGTTTTGGTTGTGGTTGTAGTGTGGTATTCAAGAATATAAGTGTATAATGTTACCCCTGATTATGATCTATACGTTTTATTTACTTTCCTCCCTTTTTTTCTTTTTTTCTTCTTTCCTCTAAATGTATAAATATATCAATTAGTGTACTATTAGCATAGGGTCTGAATGTATATGTGAGCAGTATTATTGTAGCCCCATACTCTCATGCCCCTTCGTGCACTGTACACCCCCTCATCTTTACACCGTCATTCACGACTACTTCCATTTGATGAGCTTTTCACCAAAGCGTCATCATCATCATCATCATCATCATCGACACCACTACCAGCCTTGCAGAGGAGATTTCCTGTTCCCAATGTATCTGTGGAAACACACCTTGGCGCAGCAAGTGAGTTGCCTAAAGGCAAAACGGAAGCAGCGCAGTCTGAGATGAAACTTAATTGGCTGCAACAGAATCTCCAATTGTTGTCGGATGGAAAAAAAAATCATGGATTGAATAGTAGGTCAAAGATGCCGGAGGGAAGCCCACAATGGCCACGCTATACACTTTTTCCACATAATTGTGGGTTTATCTACGACCCACCTAATGAGTCCAAACTAGCGTTTGTTACACCAGATAATTATTGTCATCTCTGTCGGGAGCCGGTGGAGGTGGCAATACGCCATTGCGCCTGGTGGGATCACGTAACACGACAGGCGGCTGTTCGTCTAATAGCAATTCACCCAAGAAGATGGGATCCTGCTGCGGTAGTAAAAGAGGCTGAGAGTTTTATGCCCGCTTCTGTTATGACAAGTCCAAAGCCTCATCCATTTTTGAAGATTTCAAAATCTTCAACTTTCACAGACCCCTTCATGATAGATATGAGCAGTTGCTATGGCTTTGAGAGGGAGGCAGTTGTGCGACGGACAGAGTTGGCAGCACTTTTGCGTCTCTTGTGTACAATGAATATCAAAAGTAGTACTAGTAGTAATAGTAGTAGTAATAATATTGATAGAGATAACCATAATAGTACAGATGATAGTGGGGAATGTAGTTCATTTAATGATCCAATTCTTCGAGAGTCACTCTTCCTTTCATCTGCTGGAAATCCAGCTGCAAATATCGGAGAACGGACATTTCGTGCGTATATTAGTCAATTGATCACTGTCCTTTTACCTCCTATGGCACCAGAACCAACAACACGTATACAACAACGTTGTTGGGGACGAAAAAATCTAGAGATAATGTTTGACTTCCTTGGTATAGCCTCATTACAGAAACTTGTTGGAGCCCCTACTGTGGCCGTAACAAAGAATGAGAAAGGAATCATAATGCGCCAAATTGTATACGAATTGGCGACTGTAATTTCACAGTGTGATGCGATGGAGGCAGAGATATTTTCTGCAGAGAAGTATAATAGAAATGCCTTGGATACAGTGGTACAGACTCGTTTGTTGGTGGAATTGACACTGCAGCGTTTGGCATATGAGTTGATTTATTTACAAACCACAGTATTGATGGAACAGGCATGGGAGGTATATGTGAAACTTGGACTCCCATCTGAGGCGATGGTAGAGGCAAGTAGTTTTTTCTGAGTTTCTCTTGTACTAATGAAAAGGAGAACTCTTTCTCCTTCTTTTCTTCTTCTTACAAGACGTTTAACAGTCTGTTTTTTTCTTTTTTTTTTTGACGGTTTTACTGTTTTTTTGTTTTTGTTATTGGAGGTGTCTATATGTATATGTCTGGGGAGGGATATTCTCAAGTGTGAACGTGTCTGGGATTCATCTTTTTTTTTTCCATTTATCAATCAACATTATGTTAGCAGTAGTAGCAGAATTAGTAAAAGAAAAAAAAGAAAACAATAAGAATAGTGGGGTGGTACTAACAAGTAATAACAAGGACACACACCACGCAGTAAAAAGACACACACAGAAGAAAAAAGAAAAAGAAAGACTTTCCTTTTAGTGTTTTCCTTTTTTTTATTTCCACCTCGGGAGTAAAGCTGAATATCTACCGTGTGTATCCTCTCACTTTTTAAGAGGAAGAACGAACAAAAAAAAAAAAAAAAAGAAATTCAAACCCATACACGGCAAAACAAAATGGAGGTAAAGAGAGACGGACTCAATTTGACCGCTTTACCAAGTACAGACACAAACTATTCCGTAAATGTCTCTACAAGGGATAAAAAGCGTTGTGAATCTCCCAGCAGTGCTGCAGTTCAACAGGATGCGGTGAATGCGGTTACCAATCGGCAGGGTTTATACCAACGACCTGAATGGATAGCCTCCCAATGCACAGGTGATGGTAATAAACATCAGCACTGCAGAGAGTTTGCTTCTGTTCCTACAGTGGAGTGCTCCGAAAGAAGTTCCTTAGCGGGTCCCACGAGACAAATGCCGGGGAGCTTTTGGAGACACCGTGGTGATACTTCTCGTTTCCTTCCACTTCGCCTAAGAGGAGGGGAGAAACGGCAGAGTCGATTAAATTCTACAGAAGCTTCTGTTAGTAATATTTGTTCACAACATCAACGTGGATTTTCCTCTGATGAGTGGAATTCCCACAGGAAATCGTGTCATGAATCAGAATCTAGTTTTTGCTGTGGTGAAGAAGAAAAGGATGAAGTTAGATTAGATGGTGATTCATATACTTATGAAACAAATAGTTGTGCTATTATTATCTCACTTTTTCAAGGTGTACCCAGAGAATTATTACGCTCACGCTATTTTCATGCATGGTGGCGATGGGTAGTACAAAAGCGTGAATCAAAATGGAATGATACACCTTTACTAACTTCATCAGCAGCAGAAAAAGAATCCCCAAAAGTATCTACTGCACCATTAACAGGGTTAGATTCAGAGTATTCCCCTCTTCACGCATCATCAATGACTCCACCGTCTAATACTCCTCATTGTTTAGCAGTATCGGACTCTTTAGACGTAAGTTGGCAACTCACTACGGGTGAAGCCTCCGGTATTTTGGCGACAGGAGCTCCAGTCTCAGGCGTAGAAGAACCAGAGTCTAGTAAAGGTACTCATTCTGTTGTATCTCGAGAGCCCCGCACACGATCACAGTTTAGGAATGTTTCTGCGCCTAGCGTCCCATCTGATGTTTTTCTCGAGCGTTCTGGACGAAGGCAAAGTGGACAGGAATCCTCCTTATCTTATGCATCAGGATATAATCAACAAACCACACATAGCCGCAATGATTCTTGGCGTGAGAATTCCGTACGTTCACAGGAAATGGTGTATGCTTGTTACTTTAGTTTGCTGGAAGATGAAGAAGAAGCGGCTCGCATTGTTATTGAGCAGAAAGAAACTGGTGTTCGGCGTAAAATCCTCTCACATGCCAAACATGTTCTCGATGAGGCTCTCATGTTAGCATTGTATGGGAAAAGGCCGGTTTCACTTCCCATGCTTTTGCGGGTGCCGTCTGTTGAAAATCAGACAATGGAAATGATGAGCCCTCTCAGTGAAGAACAGCCGGAGTTCACATCGACGGATTTACGCTCGACAAAGTCAATACCTTCGATTGTATGCACACGAAGTCCAAGTATAATACAGGCGAATGATATCCAATCACGAGAGAAACAGGAACCGCATAATGATAATGATAAAGAGAAAGAGAAAAAGCAAGAGAAAAAGCGGCAACCGTTGGTTCAAGAGAAGTTACCAACATCCGATGAAAGAAATCTACAGCAGTGTTCCACTAATTTATTAGTACCGTTAAATGCTCCTTTGCATCCTGTAGAAGCAAAAGAAAAACATAAAACGCCTAGTGAAGAGAAGAATACTGATAACAATCATATTGAAAAAACAGAGCCTCAGGTTAGTCTTCTTGAAATCACACGAAATTTAATGATATCTCCTTCTCTACCTTCACCTATTCCCACTGGGGATGCCAGCATCCGGATATACGATGATGATAATAATAATAATAATGTCGACAACAAAGAGAAAAATGGTGCGAAAAGGAACTTGAATGACTCTGGCTATAATACCACAGAGTTTTCACCAAGTGGTTCCCCACTTCTACGTAGATTCCGGTACACGGAATTGGTTGAACGGGAACGTGAGCGGCGTTGTCGAATTATAGTAAATTACCGTAAAGGTCTTGAACAGATCATCGTTGTATGTTTTGGTGGGCCTACCAGCACTACCAGCACTACTCCCACCAGCACTACCAGCACTACCAGCACTACTCCCACCAGCACCACCACTACTACTCCTACCAGCGCCAGTCCCCGCGATCTTCCTGCAGTCAAAACTACAGATGAAAGATAGCACAAGTACTGGTTTTTCATGGTTATTATTATTATTATTATTATTATTATTATTATTATTATTATTATTATTATTTTTCCTTCTTTATTTTGTTTGTTGTTTCCTACCCTTTTTTCCCCCCTTCAGAAAACGAAGGAAAAGTTATGCTAATTTCTACAAAATGGTAGTCCTCTGTGTGTGGAGTATTGTATCACAGGAACAGCTGCAGAGGGGGTGAAAAAAATGGGGTCACATATTCAGAGTCAAGTGGGATATATTTACGTGTGTGTGTGTATATTGCTCTGGATAAAGTGTATATATCTATATATATGGAAAGGGAGAACTTGTAGGGTTGGTCAAATAAGAGAAAGGTTTTTTTTTTTCTCTTTTCTCCGCTTCTTTTTGCTCTTTTTTTATTTTTCAGTGTAGTTGTGTTTTTTATTTATTTTGTACTTCAATTATGATACTTCCCCTTCTATTCCATACTATGGTCTGATTATATATATATATATATATATATATATAATGATATCGTACTTGTTGCTGGCCATTCAAAGTTTTTTTTTTCCTGTATTTTGATTATCTGTTCTTATTATTCCCTTTCTCTTATTATATATTGCCAAGAGACCTTTTTTTTTTTTTTTTTTTTGGAAGTCTCCCTTTCACTTCGTTTCTTTTACTCTTTTGCGATTCTATTACGTAAACGGTGAGTCTTGGTTGTATTTATATTTAATGTAGTGATATTTTCCCTTTACCTACACCCACTGCTTACTAGTACAAGATGAGGAAAAAAAAAACAAAAAACGAAGTCCATACGTCATCAAAACGGTTTTAAAAGAAACCAATACCCATATTTTGTTTGGGTGGAAACCATATTAAATCAAGAAGAAGAATCGTTTATACACAGTCGTTATGGTAGAAGCCATTTTTTGTTGATTGCCTTGTTTTTTTTTTGTTTTTGTTTTTTTGCACCTTTCTTTCCATTTTTTTCATTCTCTGTGTGTGTGTCTAATAAAGTAAAAAGTGTATTTACAAATAGGATACATATTTAATCCTCATAAGGATGATGACGTTTGGACCTCCCTTCACTGGGCCCCAGCATGGCATTATGAGTAATTCTTGCACTGCTAAAGTATCCATTTTTGCGTTGTTGTTGTCATTAGTAGTTCTATTGACTGTAATGCCATCCTGTGGGGAGGCCCGTCATCTCTTGGCGGTGGATATTGGCGTGGATTGGGTGAAGGCCGCAACACTGGGAGCGAGTGCTGGCCGTAGTTTACCCGTGCGGGCCAACGTGGTTCTCAACGATCAGGCAAACCGCAAAAGTCCACAATGCGTGGCGTTTCGTTTTGTGCCCTACAGTGGAAATGACTCACTGCGGGGAGTCGAGCGGGTGTTTGCGGAACAGGCCTACGCCCTCGAGCCGAGGTTTCCTGAACAAGTTGTTTGTGGAATGTCATTACTTGCCGGCCGTCGGGTGCCGTTAAAGAATACAGACAAGAAAGATGATGATTCCACAGAGGGAGAGAGGGATGAACTCACTGCAGAAGATATAGCGGCCATGTCTTTTTCAGTGCTGCCACGACCTCCACATGATACGGCGATGATTCGTGTTGTGAATAGTAAAAACAACGGCGGGGCAAATATGTTGGAATTCTCTGCGGAAGAAATTGTTGGAATGTATTTAGCATACATGAAACAAATGGCAGAACGCGGTCTAGACGGTGAGCCTGTGCGGCATCTCACTGTAACTGTACCTTTATTAGCATCTCTCGCACATCGACAGTCCATTGTAGATGCAGCCGCAATAGCTGGTTTACGCACTGTACGTGTTGTACATGGCACTACAGCAGCGGCTGCACAATTATCCTATCTTAACTTGGGACAATTGTTTAGCGGACCAGGAATCTCTACAACTGCAGCAGCAGCAGAAACATTGTCAATTAGTGAAAAGAATGCTAAATATGTGATGATCTATGATATGGGAAGTCGCAGAACGGAGGTTGCGGTATATCGTCTCACTCCATCGAAAAAGCATTTAGGAACCATCACACGTATAGCTGTGGTGGTGAATAATAACCTTGGTGGTCGTACATTTGATCACTGCATCGCTCGCTACGCAGAGGAAAAACTTTTCCCAAAAGCAACACCGAAACCAATAGACCCGGTGCTAAACAGACAAACTTCTACACCCGCTGCAAGAAGAGCAGCTATAAGTTTGATGCGAGGGGCGAATAATGTGCGCGAACGTCTCTCCGTTAATCAAGAAGCTCCACTTGTGGTCCAGGGTGTTGCAGATGGTGGGGCAGGTGACTTTACTGCAACTATTTCACGAACGACCTTTGAAAAGGAATGTAATGATCTCTTTGATGAAGCCGTGCGGATGCGTGATCAAGCTATGGAGCAAGTAAACGAAACACTCACATCACTTCAGAATTTAACTCGTTTTGAGGTGATTGGAGGAGCAACTCGCATGCCTAAACTATTACTTCGCTTAAGTGATGGCTATGGTAAAATGGTGGACCGCACTCTTAACGGTGATGAGGCGGCGGTGGTTGGTGCTCTATACATGGGTGCGGAAAAGGCGAATATTCCCTTTCGGGGCTTCCGTATAGTAGAGAAATTAACCAATGATGTGTACTTCTCTGTCTCACCACCGCTTCATGCATCGGCAGAAAAAGTAGAAAAGGAAGATCGTAGTGAACGATATCTTCTCTTTGCAAAGGGAAGTGTAACTGTGCCAGCGGTACGCTCACTACACTTTAAGAATCGTACTTCTGATTTCACATTCTCACTGGAAGATAGCAATCGGTACTTTGTGCGGGCAGTGACGGTGTATGATGTAAAGGATGCCGTAGAGTTGGCCCAACAAGTCCCAGAGCGCATGCGTTTAGGTAAAAAAACAAATTCCACCAATACTATTGTATCTATTGATCATATGAATGTTGTCGTGGAGGTGACACTCTCGGATAGCGGTATACCATTTGTGTCTAACGCGTTTCTTCAAGCCACTTATACGGAGGAGACACCAGTAGAGATTGATACGGCTAATAAAACGGATAGTAAAGATAAGGAAGCGACAGAGGTGGAGACTATCCAAGACAGTGGAGAAGAGACAACACAGGATGAACCACTGCAGCAGCATCAAGGGGAAGAAGAAAAAAAAGAAGAAGAAGAAGAGGAAGAAGAACAAGTAGAAAATGAGGAAGATACAGGGAATCCAGTTAAAAAACATATGAAAGAAAAAGATGACAATACCACTAGTACTACTACTGCATCATCACCAGAGGGAGATGGATTCTCTGAAGAAAAAAAGAGTATAACATATTTTGAACGTTCTTTTCCATTACATTTCAGACCAGCGCTGGTATCAACTGGTGTTAATATGAATAATTCCGAAGCAACGGCTGCACGTGATCGCCTTCGTGCCTTTCAACAAATTGATAATGAGAGATTACAACGTAGTGCTCTTCGTAATGATATTGAAGGACTTGTTCTCCACTATAAATCTCTGGACGCATGGGACAAACCGACACAAGGTGGTGAAGGTGAAACACAGTGGAAAAGTGTTGTAACAGATGTTTCAAGTTGGCTTGATGATGTTAGCGATGATGTTGAGGTCTCCGCATTGCAGTCGCAGTATGATCGACTGAAGAAACTACAAGTTGGGTAATTGGACTCTGTGAGAGTTGAATGCTTTTTGCTTTTAGCATCTGTAAATGTTGTGCGCATTTCCTTCTTGATGTGTCTGGAATAGAAGGGAACCCCGTTTGTTTTGATGTTAGTGTTGCAGTCAATGACCTTGTTTTTTTTTTTCTTCTTCCTCTTTTTTCTTGTCTGCTCTCTTTGTTTCTATTCATTTGTTTTTTTTTTTTGCTGTTGAATGTACCACGCATTTTTTTTCTGTTTTTTTTCTTGTAGCATTCTGCAAACCAGGAGGAGGAGGAGGAGGAAGAGAAGACGAAGAAGAACAGAGAGGGGAGAAAAAAAAAAAAAAAAAACGTAAAGAAAAGAGGAAGAAAGGAAAAAAAAAGGCAGATCTTGTAGATCAGACAATTGGGTTGACTCTCCACAACGATACCAACTGCATATCTATATATTTATATCTAGTCATTTGTCGATATTTAGTTTAGGCGGTAGCATTTTTTTGTGTGCTTGTGTTGAATAGATGCTCCGTTCCACGCTTCGTCGCTTTATTCCAGCTGTGAACTGCACCATGCAGGATCCACTCTGTGCTGCGGCGCTTGCACACTGCACGCCTATTGTGTACTCCGCACTGCCGAATGGCTGCCGAGTGGCGACGGAGTACTTCCCACACTGTCAGTTCGCCACTGTGGGTGTGTGGATTGATGCGGGAAGCCGCTTTGAGGATGTGCACAACAACGGCGTTGCCCACTTTCTTGAACATATGAACTTCAAAGGCACCGCACGTTACTCCAAGCGGGCGGTGGAGGATCTCTTTGAGCATAGCGGTGCCCACTTCAACGCATACACTTCCCGCGACCGCACGGCGTATTACGTGAAGGCTTTTACGAATGATGTGCCGCAGATGATGGATGTTGTTGCGGATCTTCTCAAGAATGGCCGCTACGACCCCCGCGATGTGGAACTTGAGCGGCCAACAATTCTGGCGGAGATGCGGGAGGTGGAGGAACTTGTGGATGAGGTGTTGATGGACAACCTCCACCAGGCCGCCTACGACCCAGCGAGCAGCGGGCTTCCACTCACTATACTTGGCCCTGTAGACAATATTGCAAAACACATTAATCGAGATATGATTCGGGAGTTTGTGCGGGTACATTATACCGGTCCACGCATGTGCTTTGTGTGTTCTGGTGGCATTCACCCAAATGAGGCCCATAAACTCGCGGAGAGATTCTTTGGTGATCTCCCGGCGACGAATAACCGACCACCCCTTCAGGCTCTCTACCGCGGTGGACACACAGTGATGTGGAATGAGCAGATGGCAACTGCCAACACCGCCGTAGCATACCCTATATGTGGGGCTTCCCATCCTGACAGCTACGCATTACAATTAGTGCATAATGTTATTGGACAATTTCGAGAGGGACAATACGATCAATTCGCATATCAACGTCGTAATATAAAGCTTCCTTGGGAAAAATTACCAAATATTGTGCAAATGCGACCATTTTACACACCGTATGAAGAAACTAGTCTGCTTGGTTATCAACTCATTACGGCACGTATTCCACCTACTGAAGCAAACGTTTCTCAATGGGATGAAAGTCAAAATGTGTTACTGGATTATCTGTTGTGTACATTCAACGAGTTGGCAACTAGTCCTGTGGATAAGAAATTGCTTGAGGAGGCCAAGAGTGAGTTTAAAGCCTCTATTATGATGATACGAGATAGCACAACTAACAGTGCCGAAGACTTGGGTCGACAGATGATTCATTTTGGTAGACGTGTACCTATTCAAGAGGTTTTTGAGCGTGTTGATGCAGTGACTCCTACTTTGTTTCGCGATACACTAGCAAAGTATATTAACTCTACGGTGCCGACAGTGTCCTACATAGGCTCGGCAAGTGCAGTTCCTAGGTTTGACGCAGTTACACAAATGTCCCGGCGAGTTGGTGGAGAAGGATTAGGGGCGGATGAGGTTAAAATTCACAACAACAACAACAAAAACATGGATGATAATTGCAATAGTAATATAGGGATTGGAAAGAAGCGAGAAAGAGAGTAATGACGGATAATTCTGAGAGCGAAGGAGAAGAGTTGGAGTGAGAGAACAACAACAACAACAAAAAAAGATATTGATTGATTGAGTAAAAGTTATGAAGAAGGTGAGAATGAACATCACACACACACACACAAAGAAAAAAAAAGAAAAAAAGGGTGGGGCTGCAGGTCGTCACAATTCTTTTACTATTTTTGCCAAATTTTTCTCTTTTTCACTCTCACATACACATACGCTCATGTGCACGTATATGCAGAGAAAAGAACACTCTTGGGGAACCGTTTGGAGAGTATCGGGGGTTTTCCTGGTGATGACTTATTTCGTCGCTCTTTTTTTTTTATCTTTTAGACACTTTACTTTACTTTGTTATATATATATATATATATATATATATATATCTTCGTATATATCTTTATTATGCGTGTCGGTTGAAGGGAGCCATGATCTAGGTATTTTCTGTGCCAGTATTGAATTCTTGTGTTAATATTCTTGACGTTGGGGGAGTTTCGCTTCTAACATAAAAGCAGATAATTTAAATATTTATGTATTTCTCTTTTTCTTTCTCTTTCTTCCTCACACTTGCCTTATTTTTTTTTTAGCTTGGAGAGGCACAAGAACAAATAGACGAGTAAAGGATAACCAAATCACAGGGTTATTTACAGAGGGAAATAACAAGTTCTTTCCTTTTCCTTGTTTTTTTTTTCTTTTTTTAAATACCTTATTCCCTTTTTAAAAAGTTATTATTGTAGTTTTGTTTTTTTTTGGTTTCTGCTGCATTTCCTATTTTTTTTTTTCCTCCCCAATGAAGCGGGATGCATGGTTGGCTGTATTGCAGTCAATGCCGTGGGTGCCTTGTGCAGAGAGTAGTGGATTACCACGATATCGCGCAGTGGAGGCGTATCATTGTACATATTGTGCCTATACCGTTTGTGCTTCTTGCTATAACGCAATCCCCACGGGTCTTCTTCTTTCTGCACGGGAATCAAACAGCACGGTAAGAGGCTCCGGTGGACAAAAACAACAACAACAACAACATTATAATGGCACTAACGAAGATGAGTTCTGCAAACCGCAGTGTTTTCTCTGCCGCCGGGGTGTTCTCGTGCTGGAGTCGGCACCAGTGTATGAATGGACGTGTGAGGGGCCGCGACCTGCACGGCGATTACTCCGCGGTGTGGACGCATCGTACGATATGGATGTTGTGCAGCGATATTATACAATGAAGGAGCAGCGGGAGAAACGTGCTCACTCGAAGGCCCCACTCATCGCACACTTTCACAGTGCTGATCCACCGCATTGGCACTTTGCTAGTAATAGTAATAGTAATAGTAGCAGTACAAGTTATAACAACATCCATAATAAGAATGGGACTCCTGTGGATGTCTTTGGTAGTGGTGCAACCTGTCGACGTCCTTCATGTGAAGAGGGAAGTGGTTTTGTTTTCTCTATAGAGAATCCACGTATGCAACAGTCATGTGTCTGGTGTGCGGTGAATCGCCAGCTGCGGGATAATCACCCATCACTTCTCGGTGATGCCACCATAACTCCACTGCAGACATTCTGGTGTCCACCATCACTGCCGGGTATCCCACCACGGCTATTTCGTGTTGAGGTTCCGTACGGTGTATACGGACTGCATAATGTTCACGCTCTTGCCTTATATCTTACGGATGATATCTTTCGAAAAGCTACAACAAAATTACAAATGTCAAATGGAAACGCAAAAACCATGGGAGAAAATTCAGAACAGCAAAAACAATCACTACATGGACAATTAACGTCTGGAAAAGTACTTCCAAGAGATGTTGTGCGGCCACTTATTATTGTAGATATTCTCCACCGCGTTGCTAGTAGTGAGCCATTACGAGGACTTTTGGATGTGCGATGGTTTATTTCTCATGTATTGAAAGATAGTCAAAATACATCCCCCGAGTTGAGATCGCAGCGTAGTGTGATAGCTGAAGAGCATTCTGATACCAAGAAGAGTCAGGAAGAGTGTGAAGTGGTAAGGAATGAGGGAAAAATGAGAGAAGGTAATGCACAGGAAATCAAGGGACAACCAGAAAATCTTTCTTCTACTACCGTTCAGATACCAGAATGTGATGAAAAAGAAGAAAAAGAAAAAGAAGAAAATAAGGATGGAAATTATACATTTACATCATGGCCTTATGGTTTAAGATGTGATGAGTTACTTTTAACAGTGGATCATCTCTTGCATGGTCGATCTGTGGGTGTTTATGGTATTGCTTCAAAGTATTTCTTTCTTCAGCACGTCTCTCAGAGTGCTGAATTACGTTATCATGGTGTTGTAGAGGTGGATGGATATCGTTCCACTAATCATCAAGTAGTACGACAGTTACGTGATGTCAGAAAACATTTGGCAGATCAACAGCAACGAGCTGAACGAGAATTACTGCGGAGTTTATTTCAGCAAAGTGCCCATGCTGAACCTTACGGAGTTGATGATCGTTCTGGAGCTCCTGCACGAGAAGCCCAGCAGGAACAAGAAGAAAAAGAGGAAGAAGAAGATCATCAGCAAGAAGAACATTACTATCACTCAGTAGACTCATCTCCACAGTGTTCTCAGCGGAGTCAGTCGTACCGCACACCGGTGAGAAGTCTAGCGAGACACGATGGAATGAGTCAGTCACGACGACGGTACACAAATGAGATGAACACGAATGTAGATGATGCTTTATTTACACTCAAATCATCTCGACTCGCTACACCACCACCACCACCACCATCATCATCATCAACACAAGAGATAAAAGGTGGTCTACCACCCTGTTCTCCTGCCCCACACGCTGGTCAGCGAGAAGATTCTATCATTCTCGTGCAGGGAGATGAACAGGAAATGGGAATAAGAGGACGACCACCCTTATATCCACCGAATAGACAACATCCACCACCACCAACAACAGAAACACAACAACAACAACAAACACAGAAGGGGAGTTCAGACAGGATGTGTTTTGCAGATCGCATCTCACATTCGGATGAGAAGGGGCGTACATGGTCGCGGTGGCATTGGCTGCGTGAACACTCTAATTGGAATTTTGACGTGCCCTTTCGAAGTGCTCACACCAACAAACGACCCCGAGAGGAGGGAGAAAAAGAAAAAGAAGAAACATCGAAACAACAACAACAACAAGAACTGTCCTCGCATGAGCGAGGCCCACGTGTACCGCGTTTTGTAATTTCACCGGAAATTCTTAAGCCTCTCCGTCTGGCATGTCGTGCACCACTGCGGTCATGCATTAGTTGGATGTCACTACCATCACTCACGGCACATCATCTCATTTCAGACAAACTGCCATCACCAGCGACGGGTATTACTCCACCACTGCGTAGTGGATATGATAATACTCCTGCAGGTCGTCATACACTTCTCATTGTACATGGAGTGGATCAGTTAGATGCAACTTTACTCTTGGAATTGCAAAGTATTGCACGTGAGTACCCATACCGTATTGTATTGCTCTGTTCCTTTGATGATCCTAAGTGGCCAACATCAAATAGTGCAGCCTTATTGGATCCATTTCGCATGTCTTATGTTCATTTACGATCTTTATTGCTACCTCGAGTACATGAAATGTCAGGTATCAATAGTCTAGCACTGCTTACTGAGATGGAGGCCTCCGCAGCAGGAGGCGGTAAATTTGGAAACTACAATAACCGCGGTAGGAACAGCACTGGTGGTTTTGCAGGAGGTGCGGGATTGCCGTTGCATGACACAATTCGACGTATTTTATTTAGTTTACCTGCCACTTTCAGTGAACTGCTACGCTGTATGATTGCGAGACAGGAGGCTGCTGGTGAAAATGTTTTTATTCCAGTTAGTTTACACCAACAACACTTTGATGAATGTGGTCTGATGGTTTCGATGGGTCGTCTAAAGGCGATTGAACGGGAACTCACATCCAATCGTTTAGCTATATTTAATTCGGCGGAAAATAAATTGCTGATTCCACAACATCGCAGATTACTTAAAGTGTTAGAAGAAGTGGAAGCCCAGCGGCGAGGGTCAAATGCCGCAGCGGACGGAACAGGAGGGGGCGTGTCGGCGCCAGTGGAGGCGTAATCACAGAAGTGCCAATTTGTGGAGAAGAACATTTTACTCTCTATTGAGTATCTTTTTTTTTTTTTTCTTTTTTTCGTTTATTTCTCTTCCCTTCAATTCAATCTTGTAGTGGTAATTATTTTTATCTTTATTGTGTACTTTTTTTTATTTTCTTCTTTTTTTTTATTCCTTTCCCTCTTCTCTTGCAGGTTCTCACGGTTTCTCTACTGCTCTGTGTAAAGAGTATAACTTGAACAAGAGCATCATAAGTCGCCAGTAATTAATTTCCGTGGAAATAATAATATTATTATCCCAACAGAAACCAGAAGAAAAATAAGAAAAAAAAAAAACAATTCGAAAGGCGTGAAAATCGCATATATATTGTATATAATATATATATATATATATATATATATATATATTTCTAAAAAAAGAAATTAAGTCTTGAAGAGACAGAGATCATTATGTTTGCAGTTCATTTATTAGATGCTCTTGCGGAGGCGGCGGTTTTGCTGATCTTTGACATGGCGCCCACATGTACGAGCAGCGATGATGATGATGATGTCCGCCTTACGAGCGCCTGCATTACTTCTGTGAACAGCGCCAACTCATTGGATTCTCTCGTGCTGCGGGGTTGTGTGAATCTAAACCGTTCCGACACGGCCAGCAACAACAACAACTCCTTAAGTCCCCCACCAACATCGTCTATGGATGAAAGCAGCTTTGTGCACATGACAATGGAGGAACTTCAGACCATGTCGTTTGATCCTGTGCACACATCCCGCGGCCGCAGCGGCGGTACGGCGCGTAGAAACAGCAGCTGCAGTACACTTTCAAGTTGGACCGCCGCAGGAGAAATGTCTCGTGTTTGACAGAGGAATGCAGACGGCGCAGTTTTGCTTGATGTATGATGTTGACATCAATATAAACTCTTCTTCATAATGCTTGTTTTCTTTTTTTTTCTCTTATTTACTAGAGTTCTATAGAAAAGGAGAAAAAACGATGTTTGAAAGTAATGTTTTCTCAGTGTTGTAGTTTCACCACCCCGAGAAAAGAAAAAAAAAGAAACAGAAGAAAGTAATGGGCTTTTTCTTTTTTTTTGTGTGTTTTGATTTTTTCTTTTTTTCCCCCTTCTTCTTTTCTTTCTACTGCTCCGGGTCTTCCTGGGGTCTGTATTGGCGCTCTTCAATGCTCTAGTGAGGATCATTTTGAATTGAACCCAATAATAGCACTGTTTCCCTTTATTTCTCTTTACGTGCCGCCAACTTTTCTTCTTTTTACTATTCTATTGCAGATGCTCTTGTTTTGCTCTTTTTAATCACTCGCATAGTGATTAAGAGAGGAGCATCTGCTGATAAAAAAAGAAAAATTTTTTTTTTTTCTTACCTGAGCATGTATTTTATGAGGAGTTTCTGGGAAGGTGGAGTAATATCAAAGAAAGTAGGACAATTATTATATTTAGGCACATACGTATATACGTATATGAAGTATGTGTTATTACACTGTCGTTGTTTATATGTTTCTCTTGGTGAAGATGAAATCAACGAAAATGTTGTTTTTGTCGTCGTTATGTTTTTGTGGTAACTATGTTTCTACAGAAAGGCAGTTTCAGTTTTATTCCTAGTGGTTTTTTCTTTTTCTTTTTTTCTTCTATATTGCTCCCAAGCCTCACTTGGGTGTGTATTTCATAACGAAACTTGCTATTCTTCCCGTTTTTAAGGGCTAATGATGATGATGATGATGATGATAAATGCCTGAATCTCGTTTTCCTTGCTTTTATTCTTTTTTTAATACATTTTTTTTTTTTTTTTATGATTGTTATTTCTATTATGATTGTTATTCTCAAGATTCTCTTTTTTTTTCTAATTTTAGTGTTTATTTTTTGCTACTTTGTAGCTTTTTATTAACATGGCCCCAAAGGAAAACAGAGAAACTAGGCCCCGTGGAACTGTAGATAACGCGGGCCGTACTGGTACTACTCCCCGTACTGGTACTACGCCTCGTATTACTCCTCAAATTTCTCCTCGAGCCACTACTAATATTAGTCCTACTACTACTACTACTACTCCTGCTACTACTCCTGCTACTCCTATAAATCCTGCTCCTCGTGGTACTGGTACTGGTACTGGTACTACCACTACTCCTACTACTACTCCTACTACTACTACTAGTACTACTCCTGCTGTACGCAATACTCGTGATATTCGTGCTGCTACTACTACTACCCCTACAACTCCTGCTCTGCGTGCTACTCGTGGTACTCGAGCTACTGCTACTACTGCTGCTGCTGCCGCCCCTCCTGTTGTTACCACTACTAGTGCTGGTACTACTGATCCTCCCGTTCGTGCTTCTTCTAACGATGCGGGGGATCGGAAGAGAAGAACTTCTAAAGATTCGGGGGATCAGAAGAGAAGAACTTCTAAAGATTCAGGGGATCAGAAGAGAAGAACTTCTAAAGATTCGGGGGATCGGAAGAGGAGTACTTCTAACGATGCAGGGAATCGGAATAGGAAAACAGAAAAGGCTCAAGAAACCGATAATAATTCAAAAGCATCAAGGAAGAAAAGTAAACAAAATCTTGCATCATCTTTTGTATCCTCATTTAAGTTTCCCAAGCGTAAAAAGGAAGAGGAACCACGAAGACCTCCTGGTATGTACACTGTGCGACGGTTTCAGAACAATTTACAAGAAGCTATTCTTGAAGGGGATCACCATAGGTTTCAACGTTTATTACTAGTATTCAAAAAGTGTTGTGGGAGTGGAAGAGTTATGGAACACACTGGTGAGGTGTTAGGGCCTGTGGAAAACTATGGTAAAGTTGATGATCTCAAACTCTCTATGCTTCCAGAAAGTTCTCGTTCTATATTAGATCGTGTGTTGGACTTTTCAACAGGTTACACAGTAACACATCTAGCGGTGGTGTCTTTTGACCCTGAGTTTGTAGATATTTGCTTAAAGTACGGAACTGCCGTACACAGTTATGAAGACCTTAATGGAGACACGGCACTTTCTCTGGCAATCTCCGTTCAACCAGAATTGGCATTAAAAATGCTTCAACAAGGGCGAAACATCAATGTTGCGAGGGTTGATGATCGTGGTCAGAACTTATTACACAAAGCCGTTACGGTTAATGTGGGAAGCCCACCGTGGCCAGGAAGGGTGGAGTTTGTGGAAGAATTATTGAAACGAGATATTTCGTTAGCCTTGTTAAAGGATTCATGTATGTATACTCCTGCAATGTGGGCTGCTGAGCATGAGGAACACTATCCCTCTAAAAGTGAATATACACAGATTATAAATCTTCTTAATGCGGCAGAGAAAAAAGCGAATGCAAGAAACAAAAGAATATCTGCAGATAAAAATGATAAAGGAGATAACAGAGCATTAGATACAAAGGATAAATCAGAAGTTACCAAGGTAGAGGTATCGGATGGGGCTCCTGAGAAGAAAGACACTGAAACACATATGATGCATGTTGAAACACGTCATTCAGATCGTATGCGATTATTCTTTGAAGGACCAACCGCTCGTCTTTCATGTATCTTTGCTTTATTAATTCTTCATATTCTTGAGTACGCCGTTGATGTGGCTGATCGTGGAGTAGAAGCACGATATCGGGATGCCAAATTCCCATTTTGGTTTACTATAATAAATATGATTGGTTCTTGTTGGATTGGATCAGCTTTTTTTATGGGTCTTACGCATCTTATTTGTCTTGTTCTGGGTGCGGTCGCAGGTGCCTATTTGTACTACTATGCCATACATTATTTTCTTGGTAATAGACTTTTGCGTTTACCCATATGTGGAGCCATCTCTGATGAGGAGGGAGATTATATAAAAAGATCATTTGGTGGGTATTATCTTTACTTTTACAGATCATCTGACCGAGGTGGTTACTTTGCCAAACTTATCGGGGGCCTTCTTGGTATTTTCTGTGGTGCACATATATACAATGCACTTCTTCATGCAATTTGGCCTGGTCAGTTGTCGTGGGCACTTATTACCGAATCTATTGTTGGTTATGATGCGGTAACAGCACTTGGCAGGTTGTGGCTCGCAACCTTATTAATAGATTGGTACATTTTTACCTTTGTGATGGACCTTATGTATCAACAAGGGTCACTCAATATATATTTACCACACCACACGTTTGCAGGTTTTGCAGAAACTGTTAATAACGTTCTTCGATGGCGAAAAGGTACGAATATAGCAAAAGATATCTATGGTGTTCGTATGACACTTTACTGGACTGCTCTTTTTGTTGGTTGGATCATTATTCTTCTTTCGTTTGTTCTTACAGAGGTATCTCGAGGTCCTATAAATGAAATTTTCATGTACCCTAATATCAAAACTGGATGGTTTGGATCTCCTCTCCTTCTTGCTAGTTTGTGTATATTTCTTGAATGCGTTATTGCATCTCAAGAATGGACGTGGCCAACATTTCAAAAACATCCTTTTTTGGAGTTTCCAGGATTACTCATATCTTCTCACCATGTCTATTTCTTAATGCTGCTACTAATTGTTCTCTTCAGCTTTGACCTTCGTATGATTGTGGTCCACATATCGATGATGCGAAACCAACCAGGAGGAATAAAAGCTGGATCAATGCTGGGTATTGTGCTCTCATTAATTCCGGCTATTCTCGGTCTTCTTTTTGTTCTTATTTTGGTCATCCGAACTTCACTCCTGTGGGGAAAAACTTCTATATGTGGATATAAAGTCGCACTTTACGCAAAACACATGCAGCTCTTACCGTGTCCTCTGCAGAGTGAAAAGGCGGCGCAATTAGCACAGGAGGCGGATAAACAACAGGGCTCTCGCTTCTCACGTGCACTGGCCTCTAGAGGAACAATGAAACACATGAAGGAAAAGACAAAGATCCGCAAGGCTGTGCGAAGAGTTGAGAAACAAATGAGGACCACACCATTTGATGGGGAAACTATCAAGAAGAAGAAAGAACAACGGCCATTACCACAAGGGAAACCACAAGAACAAAGGCCACAAAAGCAGCGACCACCTCAAAAACAGAAACAAGAAGAAGAAGATCCTCAACAACCACAACCACCACCACCACCACAACAACAAGATCCTCAACCACCACCACTACCACAATACCCACCACCACCACAACAAGAACAAGATCCTCAACAAACAAGGTCAGCTGCTTCACTCTCTGCAACTCCACGTGGAGACTCATTCTGGAGTAGAGTTTTCAGTAGGAATGGGGATGATGATTCTGAGTCTACATCTTTGTCATCTTTGACATCACTTGAACAAGAACTTGGAGAGAGTGACGATCTACCAAGTCTTCAGGAAGAAAAGTAAGTATGGGAGTAGAATATGCTATACATTGTATATATATATATGGCAAGTATTTTTGTTTCAACTCTGCCATAACACCTCTCTTAGAGGCGCGTGATTTTTTGTATCTTGTTTTTGATTTTTTTTTTTTATTTTATTTTATGTGTTTACCATGGTAGATCTTCCGTACGTATTGTGGTTTATATTTTCTCTTTTTTTTCAAGTGGTTGTGTCTTATTATTTATTGATATTATTACTATTAGCATTATTACTTTTGAACGCTGTCTCACTGTAAGGTCATGTCTCCCTATGTTATATTGTACCAGGGAGAAGTGTTCATTTTTTTGAAAGCTTGCGATAAGAATGGCAAAGCCTTACTTTTTGGAACTACAGATTTATGGGTTTTGGTAAACCAAATTCTATTTCTTTTATCTTTACAGTCTGCCTAACAGTAAGTTTCTGAAAAAAGTAAGTTTACAAGGAAGGAAAATGTTGAGTACGACTCGTCCCTCTTATTCATCAGTAGAATGGAGGACATGCACACAAGCATTCAAAGACTTTGTGTGCCACAACGGACCAACAGCGTTTACATTTGAAATGCGACCATCGCACGCTCCCCATTTAACTTATACCGTCGAAGGTATGTTAACCTTAGAACATGATGCACTCAAGATACGTACAGGGGAGGATCACTGTTTGGACTGGGAAAATTTGCGTACCTCCATAATTAGGTTTCACATGCCGCGAAACCAAGATTTTCTACAGGCCTTTGAAGCAGCACGAGCGCAATTCAGTGCCGAATGGGCATTACTGGAGGAGACAGAGTCATTATT